CAATGCTGTCATCCATAATTGTAAATTGTACTTTCTGTACTGAAAAATGCAGTTGAATGAATAGATTAATTAAAAATAGTGATTGTTCCATTGTTGGAACACCCTGTGCTACATCAAAAATTGCTGAAACTATAGCAAGTATGAATAAAACTCACCACACTTGTCACATGAGAAGAGCTTGCCAGAGTGCCATCTATGATGAGTTCTAAACTGCCCCATAAGTTTAAAAACCTTCGGGCAATCAGGGCATTTATATGGCGGTCCAGTAAGATAATTCTCTGGCATTGCCCTCGTGTTGTGCGTATGTCTCGTCCTTATATGGTCCATTAAGGTCTGACGCTGTACATACTGTTTTCCACAGTAGTCGCATGTATATAAATCACCAGTGTGTAGTTTGAAATGTTTCATAAGACCATTTTCAGTCTCATACATTTTTCCACATTCTTTACATGTATATGGAGGACCTTGAGACTCTCCTTGGGGTTTCTGGAGCTCCAATTGAACGGCAGGTTCACCATTATGCTGAGAGCGTATGTGTGTCTTCAACTGGCCCTGGGATCTATATTGTTTAGAGCAGTACTCACATATGAACGGGTGATCAATATGGACGCTACGGTGCTTCAACCAATGTGTCTTTTTCTCAAACTTTTCTTCGCAATGACAGCATTGATAAGGCGGCCCTTCTGGGAATGTCACACCATGATGTTTCTCAATAGGACCATTTTCTTTATTGTTGTGCATAAATATGATATGTTCACGTAATCGATACTCCCAAAGAAACTGTTTATCACAATGTGGACAAACAAGGTATTTTCCGGAGCATACTGTTTTTCGATGTTTGCTATAGCCACTTGCTGTATGGAAAACTTTTGAACATTTTTCACAAGTGTGTATATTCAATTTCGATTTGCCAGTTTTGTCGTTTTTCTTCCGTCCAGGGCCTAATTTGGATTTCTTTCCCAGAATGTGGTTCTGTTTGATGTGTTCGTGTAACTCCTTTAGGGTAATTAAACCAAGTTTACAAAATGGACATTTCATGGATGCCTCCTGAGTGCTCACCTTCACTTCCTCGTTTTCGAAATCAATGTCTTTCTCCAGATCATGACTAAGTGTAATATGCTTACGTAGACTGTATTTTGTCTTTAGTAAACTTTCACACAAATGACATTTGAATGAGGGCTTCGTGTGTTTTAATTTTTTGTGTCTATTTAGTCCATGAGCAGATTCAAAAGTTTTGTCACATTTTGTACAAAATAATTCTTCAACATCATTCATTGATTCTCTTAAATGTTCAAGTTTTATATGCTCATGCAACGAATCTAAGCCAATGATAGCAACTTCACAGAATGCACATGTTAATTCATTATTAGATGTAGTTTCTCCATTTGTGTTTTCTTCAGATTTGATGACTTTGTAGGTATCATGATTTTGAATAATGTGATCACAAAGATTTGACTTTGAAGTAAATATACCTTCACAAAGGTGGCACTGTAGTCTAAGCTCTTTGTGTCTTTTTGTCATATGTCTAAGTAATCCTTTCTTAGTTCCAAAAACTTTTTCGCAATCGTTGCATTTAAGTTTTTCACGAATTGTTTCACCATGTTCATGTTGCGTATCTACACGTTTTCTTAAAGCAGATTTAGTCTTCGATTGTTTATCATGATTTATGTTACTAAGGCACAATTGTTTTGATTTTTTCCTCTTTATCTTATGTTCTGTAAATATGTGAGCATTGAGATTCCTCTTGGGGATTGTATCATAACAAAACATACAAGTTGTCGTTGTCTCGCTTTCCTGATTTTCAGTCTCAGTGTCATCAACATTAGAGTCATTGTGGTGCACCAATACATGATTCAGTAAGGTTTTCAGTTTTTTGTACTGTCTCGGACAAATATGACATAAGTTCAACTTATGTTTGTTGTCTCTGTGGAGTTCAGTATGTGCTTTTAAGTCAGTTTCAGATGTGTATTCTTTGTTGCATTGCGAACATATAAGTAATGTTTCCGAGTCTTCATCATCATCAGAACTGTCATCACTATCTTTGATACTGACATTATCTGGTTTATAATCCTCATCCTTGTCATCATCACCATAGAGGAGGTCATCATCAACATTATCATCATCATCAATGATATCATCTTTTATGTCACCACCAATGTTTGGGTTATTGTCAATGGGATTACTCTCAATATCATCATTCAGCTGTTTCACCCCATCTGTAATTTCAAAGTAAAGACACTGTATGGTTAACATACAAACTTTTTTCTCAATTAATAATATGAAGCTATGGTTTATCATAATATGCTTTGAAATACTTTATTACAATTTGACATATTAGTTTTTATGAAAAAACTCATGTTTTGTGTTGTTGTATGGTTTTGGTGAAGTTGATATTAATTCTGATCAAAAGTAGTGGATAGTAGATCTTGATGAATAATACTTAAGTATGTCAAATCATTTGGGAATTTAATTTTCCTTCCAATGCTTCATCTAAATATGCAATTGCTATACATATTTAGAGTATGATTTCATTTGTACAAGGTGGTAAAAAAAATGGAAACCCTGTCACCATTCTCCTCATATCTTTGTCATTTTAGGAATCCCTGATATTTAGTACATTTGTACATCATTCACTTTCCTACCAACATACCATATTTCATGACCATCAAATTGATAGTCACAATGTTACAGCACTTTAAATAACATGCTCCAGTGGCCAATATTGCACTTTCGGCAAACTTGCACCTATCATCCAAATTGTCCCTACCTAACTTCAACCTGTGGTGATACACCAAAAAAGAGTGTACAAGAATAACCCCAGGACAACTGCAGACCTCAAAAAGCAGATCATCCATGTCATTCAGCTAGGCCATACCTGCTGAAAAATGTAGTCAGATCACTGACAACCTGTTCAGATTTGCCATTAGCGCATTGGTGGCCACACTGGGGCATCTTGTTCAAAGTGCTGTACCATTGAGACTATCAATCTGATGGTCATGAAATATAATTGTCTGGTAGGAAATTGAATGTTGTACATATGTGTCAAATTTCAGGAAATTATTACCCAAAATGACAAAGATATGAGGAAAATGCAGGGTTTCCATTTTTTTGACTACCCTGTACAATCAATGTGCTGGAATAACAAAGAAAATAAGTATTACTACCCTCACCAGGCTCACCTATTGAAGTGGTCCGAGAAGTAGCCTCAGTGTTATCTTTCTGTGATCTATTCTTTCTTGTCGTTCGGTTCTTTCTGTTATATAACAATGTTGTGTTCTGCTGTTCAATGGCATAATTGATAATATGACCCAATCTCTGCTTTCTTCTCTCATACTCTTGTTCTGCATTTGATTCCTCAATCAGGTTGTACGACTTAACTACATGCTCAGTTCCTTCATGAACATCAGTGAAACATATTATTGCATCAATTTCAATTTGGTTACCATTGAATGGGTCTTGTCTTATATCGAGAATAGATTTTTCCAGTCCCTTGATAAATGTTTCAAGTTTTCGATGGGAACCGATTTTTAGTGGAAGCTTCATTTTAAGTGTTATCTGAAAAAGTAAAGAATCAATACAATGCATGGTGAAAGGATTAAGCTGTAATCGGTGATTTATCGCAGAATTTCATACAAAAACATTTATGACCTAAGCTAGCCCTGAATACCCTGGAGATCATACCTGTTAAAGCCTGTTAAAGCCCCCCCCCCCTAAGGAGTACAATTGGTGCTCTTTGGCAAGTAAATATTTCAATTTTTCTTAAATCCGAGAGTGAGCAACAAGAATCTGCAGTTGCAGTCATCTACTACTAGTTCTAGTGGTCCTTCGTCTAAATGGGGTAACTTAATCTTCGCTTGGGGCTATTTGACTTTGGCTTTTAATTTTAATCTACACAGTCCACCATGTTTGTTTTGAAAATAGAGAATAAATTGAAATCTCCAATGTGCAAGATATTCCAAGATAGCCAAGCTGGATATTTGAAACGAAATGAGCAGGGGTCTAGATAAGTTGAAAAAGTTATTAGCCAATGTGGCTAATGTTTTCTAAAAAATATTAGCCACTCTGAAAAATTATTAGCCACAATATTTTCTTATATTTTCACAAAAATCATATTTTACAGATTATGTAGATTGTATTCTTGATAGTCTTTTTTGATAATCATTATTTTTGATACTTTCCGAGTGTCACTTTGACTTCCATATTTCAGACAAATTCCACACGTCATCTTTCCGTCGTTGTATTTAAGCCAAGGCCGCCCTGCCTTCCAGTCTGGCCGGAAAGACCTCAATGGTCCCGGCATAATTTTGAAAATTTAGCTCGACACACACACAGATTGAATGTATCAGAAAAACGAACGAAACAGGTTTGCGAATATGAGCTAATGTTAAATTTTCATTGACTCGAAAATAAGTTTTGGCGTCTCAATTGATTCATGAAAATACCGAACGCAACAGGTCTTGTGAAGGTGCCCCTTGTTAAATTTTAATTGAAACAAAAATAATTGTGGCGTCTCATGGGTGAAATTACAAAAATTACGAAAGTTGAAAACGAAGAATCCCCGATAATTTATCTGTTTCTCAGGTAGGTTTCTGTACAAAGATCTTCGCCACCTTTGCGAATATTTAGATCAAGATCTTTGCCAGGTGCTAAAAATATTCGCAATTGGCGAATGGCGACAGCTTATCTAGACCTCTGGAAATGACCCCATGGTCCAAGCAAAGTAGCACAGCCGATCAACACTGCAATAGATATCACATCACTTCTTGAAGAAAAAAGTACTGAAACCAATAACGCTTTCTGAAGTAGATGGAAATTGATATAAAATATAAAATTACCGAGCATATTTTGTGAAGATGAGAGCCCAGAGAAGGCTAAATACTGCCAATTTCCAACATTTTCGCCAAAATCCTTTCTTCCATTAATTTTCTTACCTCCAAATTTGAAGATTGTTCTGTCATTCTGTGTTCACTGTTTTCATGAAGAATACAATCTTTATCGATGGATAAATCATACATTTCCTATAAAATTGATCAAACATTGAATTAATGATACTTTGAGAATGAGAAGTATAAAGAACAATGGATTAAATTATAATGCAGGGGCGAGTAAAATTTTGAGCTTGTAAACAAGGTGATCGATCCCGTCGAATCAGAATGCATTGTGGGATCGCTTAGAATAGTGGGAAAAAGAAGGTAAAATTAGTGCAATATTTTATTGTTTTTATATACCTAAACAAACTTTAATGACAACATAAACAGCACAGGTTGTACACTGATATGTTGTGTTTACTTAGGAATATATTTTTTGTCTTCTGCAGCTCGAGATTGCTTTAGATTAGAAGTTAAAACAATAGACTATCCTATTTTGATTTTGTAGCATTTTTTCAGTTGTAAATTTCAGCAGCCAGGCACATGGTACAATGCTTCATATATGTCAAATAGCTATAAAATGTTACATTCTTTTACATTTGAAGTAATAATAAACACAGAGAACAATGGGAGACAGTGATGATGAATATGACCGCAGGAGAAAACGAGACAAGTTCAGGGGTGAAAGAAATGAGTATAATGATCGCAGAGATGATAGGCGCGGAGGCTGGGAAGACAGGTATTGCTTTAGTATAACCCAGCTATTGGGTTTCTTTCAGTCTTAATTAATTGTCCCACAGTAATGTGTTTTGCTTTAGAAGGAAGCGATCATGTACGTCTTCGCGCATGGTATTATTTGATATACTCTGTAAGGTTGTCATCTGAATCTGATCACTTGTTGCAGGTTACTTTCACTGATTCATTGTCTTGATTCACATTAAAATCCAACATTGTTATTAAAATCAAACAGTGCCTTTATTATTTAAAACAAACAAATATGAAATGTTGTTAATTTGTATTTCAGTAGGATGCGAGAGGGCTGGGGGAGATCAGCAGATAGAGGGGCAGAGAGAGGGGGTAGACGAGAAGGCTATGGTCGTGAAAACTTTGATCGTAGACGGGATCGGTATAGTCCACCACCTCGACATGACATGAGTCCACCAGCAATGAAGAGAATGAGGAGAGACTGGTATGTACATCTATATTGTGGTTTGCTAACAAGGATGGTTCCTTTGAATAAGGAGAAACTGGTATGATTAGAGTGCCCACCATGTAGAATAATGGCCATGCAAGTAATATTAAATGAATGATGCAAATTGTATCAGCAGTCTGGTGTCCTAGCTCAATACTGCTTCATAATGAACACTATCACACTATGTTTATTGTTTGTAAATGATTACATCCGGTTATCAAAAAGGTAGTCAGTCATGGGCAGATATATCCAGCAGTTCCAATTATACAGTGAAAATTCCCTCACTTCAGCAGCCACCACATTATCTGGTCAATTTCAAAACATGTTGGTTGCTTTGTGTCAACATCCTGGTTGCTAAAGTGAAGGGCTCCTCACTTGAGAATTGGAGCCCTTGGTTGTATATACTGCGTAACATCTTTTTAAACAATTAGGGACCAGTCACTGTTGTCGCTAGAAAATTGTCCTTATTTGTATTCTTGTTTTTGTTAGTAAAGCGTTTATTTGTATTAAATTATCACCGCAGGGAAGGCGATGGTGGAGGCTACAACCCACAACACCAGAGGGAAGCCTACAACCAGGGTCACCATGGCAACTGGAACAACAATGCTGCAAATGACCACCGTGGTGGCTACCAACAAGGCCAAAGGTATTTTCTGTAAATCTGAATGTCCCAGGATTTTATATGATGTCTGGTACTTTGCTCCTTAGTCTATAATACCTTTTATTGTCAACAACAACATTTTGTCTATTTAAAGGCCTACCATTTTTTGAACTGATAAACAATGGTTGATCATACATATTGTTATAGTCTCCAACTTTATTGTGGACGCTGTTTGGCATTCGGCAGTGGTGACATATTGTTATAATCTCCCATTTTTTGTGAGTGTTGTTCAGCATTCTGCCTCGAATGGCAGGTAGTGTATGTTAATGCCTTGTCATAACTTTGTGTATATTATCGCTGTTTTTAGACTAGAAGTAGACTACCCAACCCAACCACCAATGATGCCATTTAAACACTTTTTGGGACAACAGGACGATCACATCACTGACCAAGAAGCTATCAAAAAATACAACGAGTACAAGTTGGATTTCAAATGCCAACAAGTTAATGATTTTTTCTTGGCACATAAGGATGAAGAATGGTAACTATTAACTCTTGTCAAAATATGTAGTGTAATAAATACTCTCTTTTAATTCTGGGTTGAAGGGATTGTTACAATATTAAGGTGTCAGAACTTAGAGCAACTATTCTCAGACAGTGTTAAATGTTGATCTTATTAAATGTGTCCATTCAAACTTAAATTTATAAGAGGATTAAGGTATTTGAATGACTATAATTAAGTGAATGTACAACAATAAATCTTGAGGTATCTTAGATTATAAAATCTAGTCTTCAAATTAAACTCACCAGACTTTGTTTTGCAAATGTGCGATACATCACAAAATGAACCCTGTTTGTCTCTTGTTCTTGATGATATATCAACGTGTGAAAAAACAATGATGCTTTGCAAATGAAAATCTGCTAAAATTGAGGCAATTCTAACTTATTAGCTTTTGCCAATTCTTAGTCCATTTTCTAATATTTTTAGATATAGTAATAAAAATTGTTTACTTCAGAAAATTCACAATGTCAAAGTACATGTTACTATGGCATTTTTGAGGCCAAGTCCTCTTTATGATTTCTTGAATGAAATGAATTACATAAAAATGAGTTCGACAAGATTTGTTGTTGTACAAATACAAAGTAGATCAGATAATAAAGGTTTACATATTACTTTAATTTCAAAGATAGTTTGGTTCTATGGGAGGTTATTATTTCTTTCATTTTGTTTTTAAACTTTTGAATGAATGCTATAGAAACCTAAGATGTGTTCTGCCTGGTGTTTATTTGCAATCAGACAGTTCATGTTTTGGTTTCTTAATTTTAATTCAAAACTTTTTATCCTTAGATTCAAAATGAAAAATCTGAAATTCGAAAACAAAAATCTTGAAATATATGAAACATAAAAGAGAAGGAAGGATATGATATGATATAAAGGGAAGGAGATATCAGAATATCACTTATACATACTGCAAAACAGGAATAGGATAAATGTTATATATTTAATGAAAGTCCAGCACTATAAGCAATATTAGAAATTGAATAAAATGATCCTGAAAATTAGTTCTGATGATGACTGATAGATGGCAGTGCAGTCAATGGTAAGGCACCCGATAATCGTGAACTTCATTCATCATATTATAACGATCATTCCTCACTATTTTTTAGTCTTTGACACATATGTAAAACAAGTGTTGATGTTAAATTCCTACTAGCTCTCCCACAGTCTGTCTGTGTATCTTAGAATTAAGCAGCTGTGTGAGATTGCTTGGGCTATTTATTCATTAACAATTTAATAACAAGAGCTTCATGGTATTTTGACAATGTAATTCATCAAAATTTTACAGATGCGTTTTTCACTGAAAAATAGTTGAGGATGTCAAGTATTAAATTGAGTGCAAACGATACATTCTCTAACTGTGAAAAACATATTTTGATAATTATAAAAGTTTGATTGTGAATGAATTTGTATGGTCTAATAATACCCTTACATTTAACTTTGATTAAAGTCTATCAAGATGGAAGTTAACCTTTTCAATTTGTAACAACTCAATTTATTTCTAAAATCTACATAATATTATAAAATAATTCTCTATTTAATATTCATTAATCTTTTTATTGGTCAATTTTGTCCGAAAATTGATAATAAAGATCACACTCAACTTTAAAGATAATTTGTGAAAATGGGTATTTGTTATTTCTGAAAAACATTGAGTTTGCGAATGTAGATTATGCATAATTATTTTTTTAAACTTTAAATGTGAACACAAACCCATTCAAACACTAAATGAAATTCTAGTCGCATTCCAAAATAACTCATTCAGAACTACTAACTCAACATTTTATTTACTTGAATCAAAATTGAATTGAACAAACTACAAAATCTGCATTTTTGCCCACCACAATGCATTTTGGCAATAGACTGCCAAAATTGATATCATATATGAATAAAATTGTTTTACTTCACCCCTTCAGGTTTAAGGCCAAGTACCATCCTGATGAGTGTGATGTCAGTAATGAAGAATCTAAGGCAGCGCTAAACAAGCGTTGTGAAGTATTTACAACATTGCTAAATATGGGCACGATCGATGAGCTGAGCCTTGATGTAGAGAAAAACGATGGCCTCATCAAAATGCTAGATGCAGGTATCGTAAAAAACAAATGTTTTGTAATTAAACTCAACTTTCTAGACAAGGGCAGTTCATTTTAATGATAAGTGATTTAGTGACAGCCTCATTATTCTACCATGTTGAGACTTTAAGCGTTACAAAAATATGCTATTCCTGTTGTCATTCAATAATTTACACCATTGCTCTAGTAGCTCTCACTTTTGTCTCATTTTGGGAATATCTGCTTTTTAATTTTCATCTCCTTGCAGTGTTCTTCACAGGATTTATTCTCAAGTGGGTGCAAAATTCTCATTTTCGCAATTCAGACCAAATTTGTTAAAATATGCATATTTTTCTCATTTTTGAGTGGGTGGAAATAGATTTTCAGGTGGGGGCAAGCCTATTTTTAAAATCTCAGATGGGCGCTGCGGCCACTTGCTTCTAGCTTTAATGCTGGGGAGATCACTGCCTTGTATGTCTGTTATATTTACACTTCAATTGCATTCCTCTGCAGCTGTTATCCTTATGGAAGGAGGCACTGAGAATGACCTGAAAGTGTTAGATTTGCCCCCTGAGGAAACGGAAGATGACACACGCAGTAGGACCACCTCAGAATCAACAAAAAATGAAAAACCGTAAGTCCTTATTTGGGCAAGTCAAGTCAATCCATGATCACAATTTAACAGTGAAGTAAAGTCAGCAGTGTGAACGTGAAAGCATGAAAATGGGTAGACATTTAGGCCATACTGGGGAAGAATGCATTGGGGTAGGTGAAATGTTTGACAATGTGCTTGTCTCTTAAATTGTGGTCCTTGTTACTTTATCCTTATTCTTAGAGAGCTAGAGTTAAATAGTATCAGATCGTGAAAGCATGAAAACTGCGAGTCATTTAGTCCATGTTGAGTCGAGGAAGAATGTGTTGTGGTAGGTTAAATGTTGGACTAAGTGCTCGTCTCTTAAATTGTCTTTCTAATTTCCTTATCATTATCTTTTACATATTAGCAGCTGTTTTTCTTTCCATAGATATTCTTAATTACAAGGTGCGTTTGAGTGACCGTAACATTGAATTCATAGCTTGTTAGATGGCCTGTTCCCATTGAGAATGGTGTATTGTGTCCCTAATTTATACGTGCCCATTATTTTATTATTTGATTTCATGAGAATATATTGAGGAATGCACAAATTGTCTTGGTTAGTTTTTTACCAATATTCCTTTGATAAAAATTATTTTGACTTTATTTGAAATTTGTATCATTAGTGGCAAACTTATCAAACGTTTGATTTTTTCAAGAAATAACCCTGGATCAAATTTTGAATTATTTTCAAATACATTTACAAATGAACCCCACTTGCGTTTTTTATATAGTTCTTTCAAACTGACACCAACAAACCTTCATTTGGTTGGGAAACATAAGCCCTACTTTCATTTAAATACCCCAATTGAAAAGAAATTTTTACATTTACATGACATCCTACTTCTTGTTGACACTAATTTTTCAAAACCCCTCATGCTTTAACCAAACAGTATTTAATTCTCTACAGAGTTTTTTTAATTATTTATTGCGTGTTAGTGCTAGTTTTAATGTTAAGAGATTACAACGATTATTTCATCCGAATGTTTTATGGAATTTTAACTTGCAGATTAGATGACTGGTGGGATTTCCTGAGGTAACATTTCCTGAACCCTTGCAATAAATGCCATCAAGTCATGCGTATTCCATGTTTATTTCTCTCTAAAATGGTTAAATGAAATGTAAGATTAGTTGCCATTTTTGTTTAAATGAAATTTACTGTTATCGAGTTCTTTATGTGATTCTCAGTAAACTTCTCATTATTTATAGAAGAACAGTGGGACTGGGAGGGGGAGAAATTTGATTTTAACTGGACCATGAAAGAGTTTTATATTGTATTTAAATGAAATGTATTTGGATAGAAAAATGATTTGTTTTAAAGTGAATGAATGGAATAAGCATGAACTTAAAATGGCTTTTCTCGAGTTTGACCCGATGAGGTTTCCTTTGCTCAAACATTACATCATGACGTATCTTTTCCTCTGTGCAAGCTGTGTCAGTACACAGTCAATGTTAGGAAATGGAGATTTGAAGTAAACTTTTCATTGTTTTGGTTGCTATGGGAATGGGAGGCAGATACTGATGTCATAGAGCAATAGAAAACTCCTATTGATTCAGGGGCATAGATAGGGTAAAAAAGACAGGCAAATTTAACAAATTGAAGAAGTATGTGACGAAAATTTAACAAAACAAATTCAACAAAACACTACAATTCTTCATTTTACAGTTAAAGAAACTGTCATGAATAAATTGTTTTTGTTTAGTTTTGGCTGTCTTTTGCCTGTCTATGCCCCTGTGGGTATGTCCCGATTTGAGGTTTATTTACATTACACATTTTATGTACAGGTATTCCAGCATGGATTTTTAGAATATAACAACATTATATTAACCCACTCTTGTTCCATTTAGATATCAAATTTATTAAGAGATTTTAAATTTTGTTTATTAAAATTGAAAGAACTGTGTGTGTTTGTCACAGTGAATGCTGTAGGAAAATAAAAGGTGGTGCGAATAAAAGTTGTTATATTCTAATTTTCTCCTAGGGTCGAAGGGTATATTGCGTGTCATACAGGAATGTTGTCGCTACAATTTATGTGCATAATTGGTACAATTCTCGGGATCATGTGAAATTGATTTTTATCCTGATTTACAATTTTATTTACTTATTGATGTTTTTGTTTATTTAAGATTTTGGTGGCAGATACACACTTTTATTATTTGAGGATGGTTACACTCCTGACAATTTTTTTAAAGTCAGTCCAATTATTTAACAACTTTATCAATAATCCTCCAGAAATGTCAAATTACCAATGCATTTAAGTGAGTAATTGTTCTGAGTATTGCTAATTTGGGCAGAAACTTGAATTTTAAAAAACCCATTATCCTCCCTGGATGCTTTCTCTGGACAATTCGAAGATGAGCATATCATTTAGATATTATGTCCTTTATATGAATAATACAATGCCTAATAGTTGAATCCAAATGTCCACAACATTTCAGGTGAGTCCATTAAAAGCAAAAACAGCTCCAACATATTTTTATATGTCCTTTGTAATAATGCAATCAAATGTTTTAAAGGTCCCCAACATTTATGATATGCCCTTTAAAATATAATACAACTCTGACATATTTTCAAAGGGAGGACAAAGAGAAGGAAGAAGAGCAGAAGAGGAAAGAGGAGGAAGAAAAGAAAGCCAAAGAGGCTGTTGCTAAGGTAACCAATGGAAAACTTATACATTGATTGGCTCATTCAACTAAACTGGGTTTTGGGTTAAACTGGAATTGACCTCCTCTTATTGCTGCATGATTTTATCATTTTATAACAAGTCAGTGAGGCCAAGAAAATTAAGAAGAAAATTTAAATAAATTCAATGAATTATTACAAACTCTTTGTTAGGCTGAAGGGGAGGAAGGAATGAAGACTGAAGAGCAAGAAGAAGAAAAGAAACCTGGGGATACTTCTAATGGAAAGACTACAGAAGAGCCAAAAGAGGAGGGTGAAACTGAAACTAATGGGCCAGAAAATGCTACAACTCCCAAAGTAATTGAGTATTTATTTTATCTAAATCCTACCATTTAATGCAGTTTGACCTATTTATCCGAACTCTTCAATAGTCGTGAAAGGATGTAGATTTTTGAATGTTTTCTAATCCTGGTATCTTGTCATAAATCACAGAAAGAGGCGAAAAAAGAGAAAAAGAAGAAAGTGAAAGAAAGAAAAGATTCGCAGACATATGATTACTCAGAGTCGGACTCTAGTTCTGATAGCGGCTCAGAGTCGGAGGCAGAACCTGCAGAGCCAGCGCCACCTGGTCTTGAGGAGCCCAAACCACCAGGAATCGAAGGAGAAACTAAAGAATCACCAAATAAGGAGAAAACAGAAGAATCCAAAGAAAACAATGAGGAGCCTGTATCTCTCAAGGAAGAAGGTATTTTATAGACCTCTATTTAGATGTTGTCTTGATATTTTTTTGATATCGTACCGTGGCTATTGTTTTTGTATGTTTTTGAAAATTGTTAGAATGAAATGTTACTCCATACATTCTTAAAGTAGCAACATGGACTGCCGAGTCGTATCCAGTGATCCAGGACCTCGTAAAATGAAAGCTTTGAATTTGTTATAGCCTTTAAAAATATATCCATTTCCCATACATGCAACTTTGTGCACATATCTTATATCGATAATGGCAAAAGAAAATCCTCTAATTCTTCGCCTTCTTCATCTCCTTCGTCTCCGCCTTTTTTATTTAAAAGACTCACACTCTCAGGAGATTTTATCGACTCGAGCAGCCAGAAAAATTAGTTTCAATTCACCCGCTAGGAAAGAAGTTGGAAAGAATTTGAAAAATCTATAAATGGGAATCCTTGTATAGATTTATAGATTATAAACGATTTGTCAGTTTTACTGGTTGATGAATATTGCCATATGAATACATTTTAATAAAATAGGAATAAGGAAGGAGATGTAAGACCAATCTTGGCCTTGATAGCTCAGAAAAGGTAAGATTTATCCATTTTTGTCTTCACAGTCCTTGTTGCCGCTTTAATGTGAATTTAAGAAATTTTTGCCTGTTGCCTGAAATAATTTTGCCTGTTGCCAGAGGGTCAAATGATCATCATGAACCATTCGAACATGTCCTTTATGTATCTTCAGCATCTGCTAAGGAGCCTGAGAAGGAAGAAGATGAGAAGGAAGAGGGAGAGGAAGGATCAGATGGCGCTCCTAGAGCTCTCCACAGAACATCATCAATATTCCTACGTAATCTAGCGCCCTCTATAACAAAACAGGAGGTTGAAGCAGTAAGAATGGAATTTTAAGATCATTCATTCACAGTCAGTGTTCGCGCTAGCCATTTAAATTTATGAGTCCCAGGGACGCAACACATTTGAAAAATGTGAGTCCCGTCTAATTTTTTTGCATCCCTCATATTTTGTTGTAAAGTGAAAGTAAAGTGGGCGATAATAGAGTGCTTCCGCTAAAACGGGATAAAAATGACATATATTGTATTTCTATGCATTCTCCCGATAAATATCTATCATTTGGTCCTTTTCACACAATTCTTTACTAATGTTATATCAAAATTCTCTGAAATGAATGAAAGAAATATTCAAATTAAGAGTTGTTTTCACATTTTACCAACCAGCGATCTTCAAGGTCGTGTCAAGGTCGTGAACTTTTTGTTTCTTCTAACATTTCTCCTTACTCTGACGACTTTTAGATGAAAAACGAGCTATCATTAAATAATTATATTGATGTATAACATTAGATCGATATCTAACGGTTCCTAGTGGAAGTAATTAAGATTATCGTGAAAAACAAATCCCAATTCTCAATTTTGAAACTAATGTTTGCGTACAACAGATTATCCAGCTTCGGTATACTCCGGAATGACTCAGAGGGCACCATAGCCAATCAAATGCTGCGTTTCAGACTAGAAACCCCGCGAATATACTGAGACACTTCGGTAGCCAATCAGATTTGCCGACATAAACATTATCGAGATCAAGGAAGTAGACGATTTGAAAATTCTTCGGACAATCATGTTTTATCACTTCTACGCTGCAGTAAAAGTTACCTGATGGTGGTGTAGAATCTTTGCGTCCCAGGGACGTAAGTTGTTTCTGATTTTTCCGTCCGACCTCTTGAAATTTCCGTAAAAACGAGAAAAAACGGCGTCAACGCGAACACTGACAGTATCTAGCTCTAAATATTTCAATTCCTCATATAAAAAAGTACTCTCAATAATTGATTAGATGATTAGTTGCCGTCATAGTCAAATATTTTAGAATCCTTTTTTAACAAAATGAATCTTCATCACAAATATTAACTGAAGTTAAAAAGGTTTTGTACCCTTGTACTAAAGAATGTGAACTGTATAATGATAAATAAAAATGGGATAGTTTTCTGTTTCCTGAATAAACAAAGATGTTATCATTCTACAGATGTGCAAGAGATACCCAGGGTTCATGCGCTGTGCTTTACAAGACCCTCAACCCGAACGTCGTTTCTTCCGCCGTGGCTGGGTCACGTTCGATAGATCTGTGAATATCAAAGATATATGCTGGAACCTCAACAATATTAGGGTGAGTGGATATAAGTCTTGTCTTTGCATGATAGCTTGTTGTATGAGGATTTCATTCGCAAGTACAATTGTAAATAAATCCAAAATGTGTATGTTTTGTGGAAACTTCACATTTTATGCTTTTTGTGTCACTCCACCACCACAAGTGGTGACATATTGTTATATAAACGAACTATTATGCATTAAAAAATGAACTTGTGTAAATCTATAATTTAACCCTTATTAGCCCAACATAAACTCAAAAATCCTCGATAGAGCTCCACAGAATACATATACCTGTTGTAAATCAATAAGTTAACCCTTATCAGCCTTCCTGGTGTAAATCAATAAGTTAACCCTTATTAGCCTTATATGAATGTTACTTTTTCCAGTTGCGTGACTGTGAAATGGGAGCAATAGTAAACAGAGATCTGAGACAAAGGGTTCGACCAGTAAATGGTATAACTTCACATAAACTTGTCTCCAAGTCCGACATCAAACATGTCGCAAAAATTATCCAGAATTTTGACAGACGGTGGAGTTTGTGGGAGAATGACAATAAAGATACTGAGAAACAGGTTTGAAGGGAATGATTCTTGTGAACATTTTGTTGATGTATTGAAACTATTCAAGATGTGTAAAAAATTATAATTTAAAAAACCTCCCTCTTGAGCTGGATGTTTTAATCCAGTTTTGGTATACAGTTTTCAAATCTCATTGAAGTTTAATTTCTAATAATAACATTGTAGGAGCTTTGCATATTTGAAAAATAAACTTAGTAGGAACTCAGTAAATAAACTGCAGTAGTCTATTATCTGAAGTGTAAAAAATCACCATATTAGGTACTCACTGAAAGAAAGATTGTTCTAGATAAGTCAAATGACAACCAAAATATCTGTTGTGGAAGGTGTAGTGACAGCACACATGGGGCAGCCTGAAACCACTCTCAATTGTGTTTTTTGTTGATGACCAGTCTCCCAAAATAATGCCAGAAGATATGAACAGAGTTCATAAACACACTAAGAAAGCTAAATGAAAGTCAAATGTTATTCTTTGATTGCAGGAGTTTGGGCTTGTGTCCAAGAACCCAGTATTAAAAAATATCACAGATTTCCTGGTAGATGAAGGTTCCTACGAGGAAGAGGAAATGTTGGGCATTTCTGTTGAGGAGAAGACAGATGCTGAGAAAGAAGCCACTATAGAAAGAGACGAACCTTTATTAAAGGTACTGATTTTATTATTTATTTTAAAATGATCACAATGCATTTACAATGAGTTTATAGAGTCGTGTGTCCCAGTAAACTTAGATCGATTCAGCAAAAGGAGTATTTTCTATTCTTTTCTTGCAAATGAAAAATTTTTGGAATATTTTCGAAATAAAGCAGTGTTCCCCATGACTTTTACCCCAAGTAGGTAAAAATTTCTCATATTGAAGTCAGTGGTTTTAAGAGGGTGTAGCACCCACTAGCTTCAGCGCTTGGGAAATCACTAAAATCCAAACTGACCTATCATTGTTTTATAATGTAAAAAGACAAATAATTCTTTATTGTTTCAACAGGTGTTAGACAGAATGATAATCTACCTGCGTATTGTGCATTCATTTGACTACTACAGTGCTATAGAGTACCCCAATGAGGATGAAATGCCTCATAGATGTGGCATCATACATGCTAGAGGTCCTGCACCTTCCAGTAAGATCCTCAATGATGGTGGGCTCAATAAACTTGGTACGTATACAATAGCAAATTACATCATGAAAGGAAATGGGTCAAATTGTCAATGGTTTTTAATGAAACTAATTTAACAAAGGAGCCAGTGTCACTTTTTTATACCATTATTAATATTGAATTTACATTGTTGCCTACTGGAACCTCAATGTATTATTGTGTTTGCATAGTTATGTGAAAAATGGGGATTTTGACCACTAGTACATAATGATTCTGTTTTATATTTATTGTTTCTTGTTTGCAGTGAATGAATGGCAGGCTGCATTTAGTCACAAGATCTTAGGATGGGTACATGTTAAATGGACTCTAGACAATGAAGAGGCAACTAGACTGGGCCTTAAAGATGCAGAAAAATATCCTTAAAATAAAACTAGTGTTGTACAATGCAGACTGTACCATGTATGTATATCTAGCTAGAAAAACATCCTGCTTAGTTTTCGTTTTAAGCAATTCGTTTAAAATAATGTTAGATCACTTTGGATGAGGTATTTTTGTCACTTAAATTACCTTTTTAACCTCTTGAATCCCAGGCTCAAAAATCTGTTGAAACCAGAGATTTTTTTTTCATTTTTGCCACCTTTTCATATTATACTACATACCTATACAGTTACAGGTGCTCAACTTACTAAAATTAGACGGCAGAGATCATTTTTATACATTTTTAAAAAAATTGTGTAAATTGGATGAAAATTGTTCAAATAAGAGCATTTTTAGTGAAAAATTTTGTGACGGATTTTCTCGTCACTCTGGGTTTCAAGGTCATTTCTGAGGTGAAGAGAAATCTCGTCACTCCAGGTAGTCAAGAGGTTAAATGTGATATTTTGAGGAAACCATGAGTCAGTTCAATAGGCCATCGCTAATTTTCCCCCTCCCTTAACAACAGCCCCCTGCCATTAAATACCCTTAAAATGAAAAGTGGGATAACAAGGCCCACTACTGATAAACTTGGGATAAAACCATAGAGAATAGTTAGCCCCTGGACCATAGGAAATACTTAGGCTTTGACCACAAAAAATCATTATTAGACCTTAGACCATGGAAAATAATAAGACCAATGAATAATTAGACCTTAACAGTTGTCACAGAAGTAGAAAAGTTCATGGATGCCAATTGTCAGGAACTTGGAAAAGATAAATGGCTTTGTCCACTGAGTGGGAAGAAGTTCAAGGGACCCGAGTTTGTCAAAAAGCATGTCAAGAATAAATATGCAGAAAAGATAGAAGATGTCAAAAAGGAGGTGAGATTCTTCAAATTGTATGCAATAGATTTGTGTGCTAAGTGTATAAGAAAACTTGGTTTAATATTTCTAGTTTGAGAATTTTTATTAATATTTTAGTTGATTAATGTGTTTTTTATATAATTTTATTATGTCACCACCACAAATGTCAACATATTGTTATGGTCTCCAAGTTTTTTGTGATGGTGTCCTGCTGTTGGCGTTCGGAGTTCGATATCTGTAACAAATGGTAGGTAGTGACATTTTGCATGTTAATGCTTTATCCATTTTTTGTCCTAATATTTTAAAGTTGAAAAATTGATATTTCATTCCAGGTTGAGTTCTTCAATAATTACCTGCTGGACCCTAAGAGGCCACAACTCCCAGAACACCCAGGGTTCCGCCCCCCAGCCCAGCCTGCCCCTGCCCCCAGGGAATATCCCCAGCAGCAGCACGGAGGATACCAGCAACAAGGTTGGGGTAACAGGCCATCTGCTGATTGGGGTAGAGTATCCCTGAATTTCCTAGATGTCTTGATTTTTAACAAACTCCTCTCCTTCAATATTGGAAAAATCCACATATCTAGCAGTCATAGAATTGTACAAATTTATATACAAATATAAAGTGAAGTAAAACCAAATCTATGAATAAAACATCGTAAGTCAGCAGTGTGAAATTAATTGATATGCCTTCTACAATGTATGGTAAAACCTGTCTTACCTGAATGCCAGTGGGACCATCCAAAAATGTGCAGATTGGCATTTTGGATTTTTTAACATGGAAGTCCATGGCAAAAATGTGACCATAAAAGTGTTCACATTGAGAGGTGTTCAGATAAGTGGGGAATTCAGATATACAGGTTTAAATGTACAATTGTACATACTAGTTTATACATTTCAGGCCAACAGCGCAGTTATCGTTCCCCTCCACGTCAGCATCATGACCAACATGACAGAAGGGAAGGTGGTGGCTTCAGTCGACAGTCCTCATTCTCCAGAAACAACAGGTATAGTGTATAAATTGATCATGTTTTTCACTAATTAGACCATTGAAGAAAAATGGAAAATATTATGAACTTTGCAGTACTTGAGGAAATTCTTGAGCAATTTCACTTCATTTTGTTGTAATTTAGTGATACAAGACTCTCCAGTATGGAGCCCAATAAGGTAGAGAGGATTACAAATGATGACAAATAAATTGTAATGATGACTGATGAATTGGAATGATGACTAATGAATTGAAATGATGACAAATGAATTGAAATGATGACAATTAAATTGAATTGAAATGTTTGGTTACAGGAGCCAGAAGGATCCTAGAGGAATAGTGGGTTACCAGGATCTAGACGCCCCCGATGATCTTGATATATTTTAATTGCTTGGATACTTTACATAATTCTGTACATGAAATACATGGATATGCATAAAATATTTGGATATACATAAAATATGTGGATACGCTGAATCTGATTTTGTTTGCCCATATATGGCCATGTGTATTGCACTGTATCAGACTTTGAGAAGTCGCACCAAAATTTAAGTCTAAAAAGTGGTTTTAATTGTTATATATAGTGTTGTGAGGAATGCTGATCATGTAGTTTTTCAACAGGAATTATTTATCCATCATTTTAGTCCGGGATAACTTGTTTTGGTGTTGACAGTCAAAGTGTGAATTTCTAAAATTGGTGTGGGGAGTGGATTTTAAAATATTTCCTATTGGATTCTTTCATATTTGCTGCGACTTCCCATATCTTGATGTGACTAAAATCTACATGTGATGCTCACAATACAATTGGACAAAACATGGACTTAATGTTACCATGGTAACCATCGCACCATGTGCATCGTTACTATGCATGTCATACAACAATATATATGGTTACTATGACAACAGAAGAGGAGGATATAGGGACTTAGACGCACCAGATGATGAGCCATTATAGGCCAATAAAGTGAAATTAACTGTACTGTCGTTTACTAACTATCCGTGCATGGCTATTTGACAGACATTTTATATTGCATTTCTATTTTTTTTAAATGACTTATATAATAATATGATCAGATTTTCAATTGACTCAATAATGCAGTTTAAATAAACCACCGCATCATTTTCAATGAATTAGCAAGAGACATTCCATGCATCATTAAGTATCCCTTACAAAACTGCATGTATTAAATCCTGTCATACACAAATCATGGTTTTACAAGATGCATGTAAATCAAATCTTTTAAAGGATAATAATGTTTGAGCTTTGAATCATGGGATAGCAACATCTTTGAATCATGGGATAGCCACATCTTTGAATCATGGGATATCAACATCTTTTTGAATCATGGGATAGCTACATCTTTGTACTTCCAATTTTATGTTGACAACACATGCATACATATATATGCATAAAGTATGATGTACATGTGATGTATGTTTAAGTAGTCTGTTTTAATATGTAGAAAATGTGGACCTAGATTGTGTCCTGATGTCATGCATAAACACGCAAATAAATGTACATTTAGATTTTACATTTTACTATTGTTTCAATTTATATGTAGTATAGATGAAATCAAAGTGAGATCAATGTTTACCTAAGTTTTTTGCTACTGCCAATTATTAATTATCACACTGAAAAAGTGCTATATTGTCGTTTAGTTGTCAGTTTCAGATGGATCTAAAAATGGCCAAAAGGAACATAACTTTTATGAAGAACATTTTAATAATAAGATAGCCTATGCATGTATTGAAGTAATATAATTTCATTAGTAAATATCAAAAACTTGGTAGGCTCATCTTTTGACAGTTTTGCTTCCTAATTCAATTTTTCAAATCATTTTATTTGATTTAAAATTTGCTCTTTTTCCTCTTTAAAGTCTATTACCAGAGGATTGTAATAAGATTCGATCTGAGAGGTGAAGTTGACCTGAGGAGATGTGTAAACAACTTTCTCATAAATAATATCATACCAGTAAATATCTTCTTGTCTCTGATTTCTCATGTTGAGTTATCTGCACATGTTTATGACTCTTCATATTGTAAATAAATAATATTCATGATATTCAAGTTAACTTAATATCTAACTGTATAAATTGAGAATTGCTTTGAGTTATTATTCAACATTTAAAGGACAACTGAAATAGCTTTTCTCAACTTGCAGCTACAAAAATGCGGTTTTCTCCTTTGTAAGCCCAACGTAGAGTTCTTGCGATAGTCTTTATAAAATAAATGTTAGATAACTGCTAACGGTCATAAATAACGAAATAAAACTAACTGATCAATCAAATTGGCCCCCACGTGATAAGTAACGTCATATACAAAATATAGCTTTGGTTTATTGGTTCCTTAGTAATCACAACGTCACGGCAACCATAGGATTGTAGTGTAAACCAAAACAAAACATTTTTGCATTATGACGTTATGGGCCATGTGGGGACCAGTGAGAGATCACGTGGGGGCCAATAACGTCACAACCAATTCGAATATTGCTTATTAAGCAGCTATAACGATCGTTAGAGTGAAATAGTTTTCGCACTACTGATGAGAAAATATGTCCAAATACATTTATCAAAAAATTATATTGATTCCTTTAGGTTAAAAAATACCATTTCATATCTGCTTTAAATGTGATATTCATCTACTGACCTGCAATAATAAATTTGAACTACTGAAATGTGGCATATTTTGATTTTCAAATCATTCTTGATAATATATTTGTAGAAAAGTTTTAAAGCAAAAGAGGATTTACATATTTCTAATTTTGAAAAAACAGAATATTTGATTCAGAAAATGTAGTGTAAGACCATTAATCTAGCAAATATGTCCAAGCTTCTTTTCGACTGGCATACTGGGTTAAGGCATTTGTTTGCGTCATAAATTATATAATATAGGCCTAAATACAAGGCCTATATTAATGTAAAGGGCCTTGGCTGAAAAATAGTATTGGTTCTTCCAAGCTTCATTGATGTAGCAGAATGGGATCAAGTTTATTGGAAAAGTCTATTCATGGGTCTATTTACCTTAATATCACTTGTATATCACATACAGTATTTGTTGGTCACTTGATCAGTCAATCTATTTGTATGTTTCATGGTATTTTTACAATCAAATTATATGATAGTACCATTCCATTTAAAAATAATTACACATACACTGTCTGAAATAACATACATTTGATATATTGACATTTGAAATAGAAGCTATTTTGGGAAGTGTAGGTAGCATTGTTTTAAATTGACAACACTAATATACACCAAGATAAATATCTTAAATTAATATGAAAACTCATACAAAGTATATATCAATACAAAAAATTCGGCCATTGAACCTTTGTGGCTTCATGCCATTGGGCACACTTATCTTGCTCCATGTTACCTCATGGTTCAGGTCATCATTTAATTTTGTTCTTAGATTATTAGTATCTGAGACTGAATTTATATATATCCCTCTCAACTGGAAGTCTCCTTTTAGACCAGGCGTTAAGCTGTTCGTTCGTGTTTGGTACTTTAAAAAATCATAAAATTTGACATATATTTCCAAGCTATTGTAATAAAGGAGTGCAGAGTTTTGATTGCCACGCATATGAAGGGAAATGTACAGTACATTACTAAATACAAAGAAACATGTATATCTGAAACCCTATTTGATCCAAATACCTCTCAATGTGAACACTTTCGGTATTTTGGTGAACACTTTCTTGGTCCCAAATTGTCTCCCATTGACTCACACATTTACAAAATCTTGAAATGTGACCTTCTAATCCAAACAATTTTGGCCAAGCCCAGAGGCATTCGGATTAGGCAGGTTTTACTGTACAATAAAATCAAGTTGATGTGTTTTACACAAATAAATGGACGATCGATCAAGTTATCTTTACATCATAAAAATCATTTCTATTTTAGTCAACGCACCTTGTTAAAAACATATTACTGAGTAATTTGAGATTTCATTATCAATAATCTTAATGCTTTTTTGCCAGAGGTAATGTTGATTTACAACATATTGGTGTTGTAATCTAGATAATGCAAATACAACAAATAAGCGCTATATATTTTAGCAGTCGTAATATGAACCATAAGTATAGTTCTGTTTTGTTTTGTTATTATAGCAATGTATATCTGACATTTTTGAAGTACTTATGTGGAGACAAGTATACTGCTCATGAAAGTTTGGTTCCAATGGCTCATTTTGAGATCTTATAATGCTGTATATGGAACTCATTATATAATTGCGGAAAATAAATACATTTACTTTTGACCGTGTAGAATTTATTGTCATCCCGACATTAGGCACAATTTATGCATAATAGATATACTGTAACTGTCATATATAACTCTTCTTGACATATTGTATCATCATATGATTTACATTAGTCACAACTACTCACCAAAAGACAATAACTAAAACTACTTCTACATTTACAGAGGAACATACAATATCTCAAATGAATAAGCATGTTTTAATGTGTCTATGTATATAACGTTTCATGTGACAAAGTTTGTATTAGCAGCATATGACAACAAATTACAGCAAAATACAGTGATGAATACTTGGGTGTGGTGTAACTTGTCATAATGATTAATGAAAGAGGCACTAATATCTAACTAATCAGCTAATACCCAAGAGAACAAATTAGTATAACCCTGGGAGTTTGAAACAAGTGAGATTTATTACTCTTATTAATATGGAACCCCCTATGCTTTATTCAATATGTAACTGTATGTTATATTCAAAATTGAACCTCGTACACTATATTCAATGTGGAACCCTTTACACTATATTCAATATGGAACCTCTACAATTTATACAATGTTATATTCAATATTGAACCTCCGACACTATATTCAATATTGAATCCCATACACTCAGTTCTCTGTATACATGTGCATAAATGTTAATGAAGCAATAAAACAATTTAGAAAAATTATGTGGAACACCCTATACTTGAATTGAATATTTAACTCATTACATTTTATTCAATGTTGAACCTCTGGCACTATATTCAATATTGAATCCCATACGCTATTTTCAATGTGGAACCCCCTACACTATATTCAATGTGAAACCGCCTACATTATATTCAATATGGATCCCTCTACATCATAGTTTATGTAAAACCCCCTACATCCCCCATACACTATCGTTAATGTAAGCCCCTATATTATATTCAATAATCTTCATTAATTAGATGTATATGTAGTTTTATTTAATGTTCTGTTATTGTATTTTATTGCATACGAGTTTTGAGAAATTACAATTAACATTCTTCAGTTCTTGTCAAGGGCCTATTATTAATTGGCTCAAGAGCATTAATAGATATTCATTTTCATTTGATAACATAAGATAAATAAGATTTAATCATTTCCAATAAAGGTTTTTATCAGACCTACTAACGTTTCTGTTTTAAAGGTGCATTCACTTTAACTTTGATCTCCTACTCATTCAGAACAGAGCGAATATTGTTTCAATAAAATCCAAGCAGTAACCAATATATTAGTATAAATCTGATTAATTTGAATGGTTTGTACAAGGTGCCTCTGCCAAACTTACCTGAGAAATCAATAAAGAAACTAACTAGAGTTATTATTGTGAAACACTGGTTAAACAAATCTTTTAAAAACACGAGCAAATAGAAATAAATCACACATTGCGATAGATCAATACTGGATAGCACAATATATTATATGAAATTGCACTTTACGCCATGACTCAAGATAAGTCTGGGAAAATAATGTACAACAGACTGATAAATCAACACTTTTATAGTTCATGGTATATTACTGCGTTGTGAGGTGGGAAATAGTATTGGATTCAAAACAAAACAATAGAACACATTTGGAGAGATACCTGACAACACTGATGATCAAAAGGGACGGTTTTGTGGAGTGGCGTTTGGAATTTATAAGAAATCTGGAAATGTGAACCAACGTAGTGCACTAATTAATAAGAATCAAAACTGTCAGTAAAATAATACCAAGATGTACAAATTGATTGATTGAAGCATTTATATGAAGTTAGATGTAAAATGAACTATTAAACAGTTTTATAATGGAAATATTGTGTTAGGAGAAACTATTATCACAAGACACAATTTATAACTTAGGAATTAACAAATTGGTTACTAGTGAATGTTGAATTTTGAGCTTGAATGACCAAGTTGACCAAGACGAAATAAAGAGTTTGATGGACAAAAATTAACTAAATGACTTCAACATGGGATGTGGTTCAAGTTCATCATTTGACCTTGCACCCCATGAAGGTCAGGGTCATGGAAGGTCAAAGTTGAAGTTGCCAAAGTTGCTGATAATTGGTGGATTGGAGAATGCAGAACCCACTGGTAGAATTGATATCTACTCATTGAAGGGGTAAGTTAAATGTAAATTTTACCCAAGGAAGGAGACACACTTACAGGAGATGCTCCTCAAGGTGACACTCATAAAATGCTCCTGAAGGAGACACTCCTTAGTGGGATGCTCCTGGAAGAGATAAACTTACAGGAGATCCTCCTCAAGGTGACACTCATAAAGAAGATGCCCCTGAAACAGATGCTCAAAAAGAAGATGCTCCTGAAGGAGACATTCTTAAAAGGGATGGCTTAAGAAGACATTCCTTAGGTGGATGTTCCTGAAGGAACCACTAATAAAAGGGATGCTCTAGTCTTCCCAAGTCGGTATTTTTTTTACTTATCTGCTCTTGAATTATTACCGGTCATAATAGAAATAGACCGACTTGGGCAAGGCTAGGGATGCTCTAATGATGAACTTATGTCTGTCAAGGTGCATTAGTAAGATGGTAAACAATATGATATAAACATATTTTTCAGTGTTAGTCATTAAACAGGATATATCAGGAATAAGTTGCTCAATACATACATGTTTGCAGAAATTCTATATTCTGCAAATATTGTAAGAGTATAAGATGGAGCATGGGGGTAAGCTCTATAAAGAGTCTAAATTAACATTTTTGAAAAAGTTGGTCTTCCTGCCCATCAGAATAATTAAAGTATAAGACAATGGGTTCCTGCTTATTTAGCATTGAAAATATGATTTTATTTACATTTTACTACACCACCTCACTTAATTGAAAACACCAAATTAAAAAATAGTAAGGGGTGACAAAAATAAGTTAACATCAGCTTTAATCTACATATCTAAATACCCTCTGCATTCTTTCGATATTGCTTCTTAAAAGAGAGCTTCGTCTTATTAATTTATAGCTAAACTCTGCATGCAGAGAAATCTATCAAGTGATTAGCAGGAAATGATATGTGATCTGAGAATCGAGCAAGTGAACATCCTTTTGACATTTCCTTTTGGCTGAGTGTGTTCGTTGTCTTCTTAAGAACATTACAATATAATTCTTGGAAAATTGATTAGTGTCAAGACTAGACAACTTATCTTGTGAAATATAATCTTCACCTGAGATGTTTTTTTGCTATTAAAATGTATTATTTTCAATAAACATGAATTTAAAGAATATATTTTTGATGAATATTGATATCAGAGAATGAGCCATTTTTTTCAAAAATAACAAGGAATAACAGCACAGTGTTAAATATCGGGAGCAGACCTGTAGCCAGGGGGAGCGGAGGGAGCGCCCCCCCCCCCCCGGCCAGAAATTCTTTCAAAATCATGCAGTTTTCACCATTCTGAGCACTTTTCGCATGCTTTTTTTGCCAAAACTGCTCAAAAACTGCAAAAATGCTCCTCTCCCTTGGCAAAAGCTTCCCCCTTCAGGTAAAACCGCTCCCCCTGCCCCGGTAAATCCTGGCTATGTGCCTGGGAAACATCTTTTCAAAAAGCATGCTAATGTTTCCATTACAATTTTGTTATCTGAAAAAGAATTGAGATTCCTGATCAAAACAGTATAATTTTAAAAAGGAGGATCATGCCAAAAATCAAAGCAGAGACTAAAATTATAATTGTAGGACTAAATTGTAAAAAAAAAGCTGTGAGCAAAACACGTTTTAATTTGAAAAGTCAAAGAGAGCTTCGTCTTCGTTTATAACTAGACTCTGCATGCAGGGTACAACTCAAGATCCAGTCTTTGTTAAACACCAATGGACACTTGTTTATCAATAGAAATTATTTGTTCAGGTTTGATAACATTACAATATCCTCATAATAATACTTTTTAATAGTATTCAATCCACTTTCTCTTAATTGATATTTCAACAATAAAACCCAGTATCAAACAGCTATTTAAAACCCACTATTAAACAGCTATTTATTGCAATAGAAATCAAATAAATAAGCAGCTTCCTAGATACAGGAGAACAGGAAATACCCCAGAATTCATAGATGGACTCTTTACAGGGAGGTTCACCAATGAATTCTGGGAAAATCCCCCTCTAGTTCATCTGTCTCTAAACTTGATGCATTACTTTCATTACGCAATTGCCTTACAACAGAACCGCAACAGAACAATCCATGCATGTCCAAATACGATGTTTAAAGTGTCATTCTGACATTTTCTTTTCCGCATGCTTTTCTGCACAATAGGAAGATGATGTATTTGTTTTCTAACTTTTTTTTAACAAACCAAGTGTGACTTCATGGCTGTAAATTGTTTTTCAAGTTGGCTCCTTTCCCTTCTATTTTACATATGTAAACCTCAATTGTAAACCTTGATTGTTACAAGGATGTTTCTTTATCTGGTTAATTGATTTCGTTGTGATATTGTAAGGGCTTTAAAGTGACGTCAATTTTATTTGAGATGTCCATTAGTATTTTTTGATACCCAGTCGATGGAATTATCCACATTTTTCAGGGTGAAGTTGTAGTAACTGAAACCTTGTAAATCAAGATGACACTAATACATTGGATATGATTAGCGTTCAATTGGCTTCTTCATTGTAAACTAACTTATCATTAACCTTCTGTAATTAATACAAATGGTTTGTCATGTAATGCTCAAGTTATTAAGCCACAGACAATGTCATGTATCCCACTGTTCCTTCAGGCTGAGGGAAACATACTGAAATAGAATGAACATGTATTCACCTCAATAGAATGAACATGTATTCACCTCGATAGAATGAACATGTTCTCACCTCAATAGAATGAACATGTATTCACCTCAATAGAATGAACATGTATTCACCTCAATAGAATGAACATGTATTCACCTCAATAGAATGAACATGTATTCACCTCAATAGAATGAACATGTATTCACCTAAATAGAATGAACATGTATTCACCTCAATAGAATGGACATGTATTCACCTAAATAGAATGGACATGTATTCACCTCAATAGAATGAACATGTATTCACCTCAATAGCATGAACATGTATTCACCTCAATATAATGAACATGTATTCACCTCAATAGAATGAACATGTATTCACCTCAATAGAATGAAACATTTGGTATATATTACTCCTTAACTTAACTCCCCATGAGCTGCCTATAAAAATGACAATGCAATTGCAAAGGGGTGGGTAAGCATGCAGAGTAGAATAAAAGGAGAATCGATGTAAATAGTGAATGAATAATATGCAATCAAAAACATATGACACTGGGAAAGGTTTCTAAACTTCTCCATTTTAGATTTGTTCCACATACAGGGTGACACAAAAAATGCCATCCACCTTACGATACATTACTTGTTTGTCAATAAACATATTGACTTGTCCTTTGACACATTTAAAGAAGACATAATGCGAAAGCAATTCAAGAAATTTCAGATGTGTGGCTTGAGTGGGTCAAATTTTATGAGCGTTACAAGATTTGCTCAGAATATCGCTCATCCCTTTGCAGGCACACTTTGATTCTACACAAGAAATGCCACCTACCTTTTGTAACATAACTTTGTAAATAATAAGGATTTTTGCTTGTGCTTTCAGGGGAAAAAGTCACTGATAAAATCATTACTAAATTGATAAATCATATTATTTTTTCCAAAATTATGTTACAAAAGGTGGGTGTCATTTTTGTGTAAAATCCAGGTCTTTCGAATTCCATCCTGTAAAGGAATAGACTACACATCTTGTAACGCTCATAAATCTGCATTTATTTGAGCTGGTCATCTGAAACTTCTTGTGGAGTTGTACGTACCATGCTAGTTTTAATTTGCCGTAAAACAAGTCAGAATTTTTGCCGACAAAAAAGTTATGCAACATTATGTGGGTGGGTGGCATTTTTTGTGTCACCCGGTAATTGTCCTATTGAAAATTATTTACATTTACGGAAGAGTTCAGAAAAAGTTTCCAATATACAATTTCATAAAAACGTTCCACCTTTCAAATTGACGGAGAAAATCAATCGACTCCAAAAGGACAATTCCATTTTGGCGCAATTCCTATGATTGACCCTAAGGCATATTAAGTTTCTTCCGATAGCTGCCAAGAGGTCTAATACGGTATTGATTGCTCTTTGAGAAATAACAATAAATATAAAACATTAATGTCAGCACTTATCTCGAGGAAATTAAGTGTTGAAAGAACCACGGGGATCTTCTATAGATAATCTTTAACAAAATATGATAGCTATGGGTGCGTATTTAGTTTATATTGATCAAGATTTATGAGAAATGTTCATGGCCAATTCACAATGCTTTTATTCATGCCATAAATCGCAGAGACAGTCAAGCATATCATTCTTAAAATTAAAAGGTTACACAATTCATTAATATTTGAAAACCATGAAAACCATAATTTCAAAGTAAAATTAGAAAATTAAATTACTTAAAGGGTTAGTTTTGCAATTTTTGTCTCAATGACATATAACTGTTAACTTAACATGCACTTTACTAATTTTATACCCTTTGCATTCGTTATCTGCGTGCAGGGTAACAATTTTAAACATTAAAGGTGCAATAATTAGTGCAGAGGGGTCATTCAACGATCATGGACCAGTGTCAAAATATATTTAAGTTTAAATATTTCATCAAGACTAACATCTATTTTTATTATCTACAAAGAAACCCCCTAGATAAACATTATTTTAGCTGATATTCCTCTTGAAACATGGTGGATCTTAAAAATATAAAAGTGGAAGTCCCCTTTTTGAAGCTTTGAACTGAATTTACACTTCTTAATGCTGAAATTGATAATTTATCCATACATTTTAAGAAAAAAGGTATGTCAAAGAAGGTGTTAAACCAAATGTTGCCTTGATAGCTCAGAAAAAATGAAAAAACATTCCTATTTTCTCTACAGTCCTTATTGCCCCTTTAATATAGAAAATGAAGCGCAACTTCCTCAAAACATGTAATTGTCTTTGTTCAAGATATTATAAAATAATATTATGCATTTTTCAAAACCAGAATAAAATATCATCATCCATGAAAAACTTGATTTCATTGTGTCTGAAAGCTTTGGACAACCACCCTATGAATATTTCCTTTCATTTCCTAAACTTTTTCAGGATGGAATTCGAAAGATCTTTGGAGCTTCCCAAGACTTGCTATAATGACAAGGATGTGGCGTTGGCTGTTACATCAGTTGTACAACACCCTGGCAGAACCGTATTGTTCCTAACAGGTAAGTTTCTCACCAGGCCCATGTTTTGTAAAATGGCCATTAAATCATAGACCAATGAAACTTGGTAGAATGAAAAACATTGAAGAAAGTTTTACTGTGCCAAATATGACTTTAAACCCATGCTGAATGGCTGTGTAATTAACCTGGGTTACCCTTTTGGCTCACCCTGTACAAGTAAAATAATTCAAACTCACACTGCAATATCATGCTTTCACCAAGAAGGCTCATACTTTTCAACTAAACTCAAAATAACTCGAAACATTTCATTCTGCCCAAAATGCAAATTTTGATTTTCAACTGCCACTTTTGTCCAAACTAGTGCCAGTTTTGCCTCTTAAGACAATATTAGACATACAATGTACAAAACATGGTGAGGCAAAGAAAATAGCTGAGGCTTTAGTAAGCCAAATGAAGCATTTGTTACAGATGCCGACCACTAAACACTGACTGCCAAACACCAACAACCAAATGCCAAACACCAACTACCAAACACCATCTACAAAAAGTTGGAGACCATTACAAAAATCACTTGTGGTGGTGGTGACATAAAATCCAAACTGCATGCAGACTTGCTCCTTGTAACTAATTTACATGATAATCTTCATGGTTTATCTTTTGCTTCCAGGTAAAATGCCAAAACAGCAGGATTTGATAATGGTCAATAGCTCTCCCTTTTGGATGATAGACCTAACAATGTCTACCCAGAATGCAACAAAACTTGCAGACGTTCCACTAGAAAGTTCAGAATTTTCATGTTACGCAAAAGTTGATGGAAAGGAATACATTTACTGTGTTGGAGATTACCAATTTACACGTTATGACATCATCAATGATTCTTGGTGTACGTTATTACCCATAGAATTAGATGGAGTCGTCAAATGTCGAGGATTATATGTTGCAGATGGCTACATCTACGCCATCTTTGAAGATACTATTATGGAGTATAACACGCTCGATGGACTACATGGGCATTGGTCGAGTGTTATGGACAAAGGCTCAAAAAGAGATGGAAAAACTGCAGTTGCGGATCACAAATTTTACACAACTTGCATCAACGAGAAAGCCGTATATGTTTTCAATCCTGACACTCGGCATACTGATCTTTACGCAAAAATCGACCCAAATGATCTCAATCAGAAATGTGGAGTTGTGGGATTCGGAAAAAGTTTGTATTTCACCGGCTGTGGCTCAGAGAAATCAAGAAATTCCATCCTCGAATTTGATCTCAAGAACAAAACTCTCTCCCTAGTGGGGAATATAAAACAAAAAAATGAAAACCATTTAGCGATTATCTGCAAACTTCCTGAATCATAAGACTTGATCTTGGTAGTTTTTCTTATATATAATTATACTTTCTTAAGTATAATTTCAATGCAATATAAGTTGCAATATTTGCAATTAATATGCAATATAATGTATATTGACACAATTGATGTATCCATTGTCTATCATTGACATTCCATACAAGTGGACTTTGAACATAAAACATCATGCAATGCAGTGATTTAGAATGATTTATTTTGGACAATGAATAATAAGAAATCACCCATTATTGAAAAAATTGTCAATTAAATATTTTTTCTTTTGTTTCTTTTTTCAGTTCAACTGTCAAAATTTTACAACGTTACGTGGGAAAACTCCTACCCGTTAAAAATGTATGCTACAGGAACAGGGAATTCAAATGTGCCAAACTTTTGGAGGGGAGTGTACACAAGAGCACATTTTGAAATTTTAAGACAAACACATGCTCAGTCTAATGCACACCCACAAGAAATAACTAAGTTAGGTCAGTACCCAATTGTTTACAAAGGGTATATTTCTTGCAAATGTGCACCAGACTGTACTACAACATTGTATGTGCGCTTCAGAAATAACAAATAAACAATATTTATACATATATACTCACTATTGTACATATATTTACAACATATTTGAACATGTAAATTACATCATGGAATTATTTACATTGCACATTTATATATATTTTTTTTTGTATCATTATTTCAGATAGATTCCATTGCAAAGTTTGCTTTTATTTAAAATTATTTGGTCACCATAGTGATGAACATTCATTTTATCTAATTGTTCCACTTAATTCACATTTAATGATACAAACATATTATTATCAATACTGAGAATACAGAAAATGGTTTTGCAACAGTGATTTACTGGATCTAGCAACAAATAATCATCAACATATTTTATAGTCAAACAATTCCTATAGTTTTGTTCCAATGTCTTCATTTGTGTAGCTGTCATCTTAAAGGCTCCTGATGTGTGGAATATGTCAAAATCTTGGTTGTGTTCTGTATTTCAGTTCTTAGTATTTGATTATGTCCATTTGGTGTTCATCTGTTTTTCCAATTCCTAATACACATGTACCATTCCATATAAAAATCTGAAGTAGTGTTAAGGAATATTACTAGACTCATTAAATTATTTAATCATGAAAATTAAAACAACTTCATCATATAAAATGTGAATATCCATAGCTACAAGAGGTAATGATTTCAACCACAAATTCAATTTTGAAATTTTAAATGCAAAAACTGTCATATTAAGGAGGTTCAAAGAATATCCAAAATATTATTTTTATTTCACATCAATTTTAAAATCTGTTGCTACTCTGGAATAAAGCATGGAATATTTGGATTCCCAGAAGGCATGTGATATATAAAATTATTCAAAAGTATGCTAAAATTGAAGCAACTATTCAAAATCAATTCCCTTGTGTTCCCTGAAAATCAACAAATCAGTCAATGAGCCTTTACGAGTATTTTAGAAAATTGCTGCCAGTAAAAAAAATTTTTTCATAATTTTTCATTCCTCCAACTTCCAATGACAACCTGCAACTTGTTTAAACCCATTACTTGACACCTTTTTGTGGATAAAAAGTAAGTTAAGATTAATTGAAACTATTAGACTTTTCTAAATTGCCATTTCCTTCATTTTGCTAGGAGCACTTAAGATGCCATCTTCAGACCCTCCGGGGCTCACTTCCCCTTCGACTTATCAATTAGAAGAGGATGGCATATTATCAATATAAAGAGTAAGAGGAACTATCCCATGATACATATACGGTGAACGAACCCATCTTCATGTAATATGAACCTCTAAAGATATAGCTTTACATGAAGATAAGTTCATCTTTGAATGTTGGGATATACAAGTATCATATTCACCCTTCTTCATCAATATGCAATTCTTAAACAACATTTTGTCAACATTCAAATCTTATTCTCTCCGTAGTTTATGTAAAATGTATATAATATCTCATTCTGGGTATTTCTACATCTTCCTTACAATCCATCTTCCCCTTCCTCTCAATTGAGATTCAGTATTGGATTTTTTCTGATTGAACATTGTCCTTTTTCCCATTAGCTCCCATGTTAATTCCCCAAACAATAATTTTACTCTTAATAGCTTCAAAAGCAGGATTCATATGAACACTGATGAGTAAGTAATGATGAAATAACAATAAGAGAATCATCCATTTGCTAATTTGATATCCACTTTAATCTCAGAATGCTTTTATAAAAAGCTCCCTTTTGTATTGAGAAATACTGACATTAAACAACAGGCATTCTAAATGCAGCTCCAATAGGGCCCCTATAGTGGGATAACAAATTCCATCTATAGTAGAATAACGAATTCCCCCTATAGAGGGTTAATAAATTCCCCCTATAGAGGGCTAGTAAAGTCCCCTATAGTGGGATAATAAATGCCCCCTAAAGGTATTATAATTCCCATAAAGTAAAGAGGGATAATAAATTCCCCCTATAGTGGGATAATAAATTCCCCCTATAGTAGGGTAACAAATTCCCCCTATAGCGGGATAACAAATTCCCCCTAGGGAAGAATAATACTATATCTTATATTAAGGGAAAATAAAAACATCCCATATAGAGAGGTAACATATGCCATCCCTTCCGTATGGAGGGTTTATAAAAGGGCCCCCGCATCCCCCAAAAAGATAACTGAGTGAAATATTGCTAAAAATCTACATGTAAAACCTCATTGTAGCTAGCTTAATGTTTCAAAATACAAAATGGAATAAAAAAGGAATTAGCAAGGAATAAAGTAGAAACTTTACAAATTCAGAAATTAAGTAGTTCCTTTAAATTTTAGAGAGAAATAGTGTGACAGTATGCAGCATATAGATCACTGTTTACCATTTGTATTACATTACACAACTTATAAAATCACTGATGATTTGAGCACATATTGTACAAAAACCTATTAAGATACCAGCTTCTTCCTTGGTACCATGCAAAAATTGCTAAATAAAATCTATGCTTTGATATATATTTAATACACGATATCCAGAATTACTCGAAAATATTTCCACAAATTTTGTTGCCAATTTGCTTCGATTTGCATGACAGTATGTCCTAATTGGAACGTTTGAGATTAATTATACCCAATTCTTAGTGAGTAAATTAATCCCTCGAGGCATGTGGGGAATTTCATAATTTCCAATCTACTTATCTGATCAATAGCACTTATATGACCCCAGGGTTACGTGGCAAATGGGTACGATTGGTTGGGGAGGCCCCCTGGGGAGAGGCAGGTTGAAATCTGTGAGAGGGGACCAAAAATAGTAGAAGTTACTGGAATACAATTTTTCAATGTATAAAAGTAATGTAAATCCCTCAAAACTCCAAAAGGGCATTATAGAAGGGAAGAAGGCCACAGGCTACAATAAAATTACAAGCTGCAATTGGTCATGCTCATGCTGCGTTGATACCTTTGATTATTACGAGAATCTATTAAAGCATCTTATTATGACATCCCATATTTCATTACATCATTACATATTAAATATTCTTATTCAAACCTGGGAAAAGTGTAAATTGTCATATAGCATGATCTGATCAGTGGGAAATCTTGAAATACACCTAATAGTATGTGATGGCTAAAACTGCCAAAATTAATCTAGATGTTAGAATTGGTCTTGTTTCCTTTTTTGTCTATCATTAAGAGTTTGAATCTGCAAATTGCGAGAAACACATATACCCAAACTTGATATAAAAATGCTCTGGTCTAATACAGGTACAAAATGCATTGATCAAATTTGCTCTTAGCTATGATTTATTTGGTTTCCTGTTTGAGATCCTTGACTATCCATGGCATATAAGCTACTTATTAACAAATCTCGCAATTAATTTCCCCAGCTTGTCATACATTGGACAATGCAACATAAACATGTCTTAGTACCTCTTCGGGAGATTTCCGGGTTTTCAAATTAAATGTCCATTTATCAGTGCTTCAATGGTGCTCTCCAGTCAAACCTATTTTCTTGTCTTTTTAGATTTAGTTTACCATTTATCTTTCACGCTGACAACTATTTTCATGATATTAGAGTAGTATAGAGATACTGGATTAATCAGATCCGTTTTTCAACAAAACAACTCAAATAGACAGAAAATTGGCATTAATGCTAATTTACTAACCTTTGCAATTCCATCTGATATACATTTTTTATTGATTATTAGAAATAAACTTGAAATTACCAAAAATAGGCAGACAATTAACTTGTAAGGGGTAATGATTTTTGATGAGAAGGAGGCTGTTATCTATTTACGGTAAAAAGTGTAACAATAGTTTTTGACGCTGATTGCCTGGCATAAAAAATAGATGCTATTACAACATATCCCCACTTCATTTGATGTGACATAAACAATGATATCAAATACATTATTGTTATATCAAAAACACAACAAGATATTAAATTGCTTCATTATGCAGCATTTTGACTAAAGCTTCTTAAAGAAGAATCAAAATGCTTCATTTTAAAGTTTTGGTAAAAATTACATCAGAATCCTTCGTAAGGAAGTAATATAACTTTGATGTTTAACAGGTCTCTTTATCACATAAGCTTGTTATCTATTATAAAAGGATACGTCCAAAATAATATATAAGTGAATAGTCCTCCAAACAGGCCACTGGTGAAGAGGTCTAATCTACTCCTGAAATGTTTGTGCCATTGAGCTCCAGCCTTCAGTGTAAGCATTACCTAAAATATACAACATTTTATGATTGTATGAAATAATTTGCCATTAAATCAAATCGTAACAGTGTTATTTTACACATGAGATGGAATCAAATCTGATTTATATTTGTATAAAGACATATCTGAACTACCCCCGATTTTCCTTTTACATATTGTATAGTCCACCCATATAGCTCAGCGGTAGCGCGTGTACCTTACGCAATAGGGTTTGGGTGAACCCCCCTGGTCAAAAATTCTTTCAAAATCATGCAGTTTTTCACCATTTTGAGCACTTCTCAAGTAATTTTAGCCATGTTTTGGCAAAAATTGTCAAATGTAAACCCCACCTGGAAATTTTTGAAAACTGAACCCCCCTTTGGCAAATCCTTGCTACAGGCCAGGATATATATATAAAGAGATAGAGGAGGGAAAACCCCAGAGCTATTAAGATGGCAGACATAGTTACGTCTCTTACGTTACCTTCATTTGTCAGAACTTTCACTGGTTAGTTTATGAATACAAACAACCCTTTGAACCCTGAGGTAATTCCCCCTCTTTATAAAGAACAGAATAAAAACCAACAACAGTGACATCTTTAAAACATTCATTAATTTGATTTTCCAGTTTATGGTACGTGTACATAGCAGCTTTTCACCCCTGCTGCAATACCATTTGAAGGTTTGTTGGACTTTGTCACTTACAATTGTCCAAAGGGGTGAGACTTTCACATAGTACTTCGTCTTGCAAGTAGAGACGTTTGTAATGCATATAACGGGTGATCAGAATTTTGACTATATTTGACAAATATATTTGATGAATTTTTGAAAATCGTCATTCCCATGTAATCCAATGGGAAATGGAGGGTTCGGGGCAAATCAGAAATCGGGATATCTTTTCAGTAAAAGATTAAGCAAAAAATATTTTTATATAGAAAATTGAATCGTCTAACTTTTTTGAACACTAAGTGTTTAGTTTATTTGATGAATATTAAAGTTACAGAAATAATTTTTCGCCTCCTGTGTTATTTCAATGGGAGAGGTTTTTTGAAAAACAATTTTGACTTTAAAGCCCTATAACTTTGTTGAACTTGAAGAAACATATCAATTTTTCGTTAAATAAAGTTAGCAAATTCAATTACCCGCCTAACTCGTATTTTTTGCAAGGACTCGGATGGATGGATATTCTGTCATATGACTTGCGGCAAACCTACCATTTCCCATTGGTTAACATGGGAATGTCGATTTTCAAAAATTCATCAAATTCATCATCAATTTTCGACCTACTGTAATTGAGGAAAAAAATTGAGAAAATTTGGAGGTATTGGAATTAAAGTCAAATTACGTTTCCATCAATAGTATAAGTATTTTCATCGCAGGTTAAGTAAATAAAAATTCAAAGGTAAAGAGCCTTTAACACGTAGTTCAATGGGGGAAAAAAGGTTGCCAAACTTATGGAGGGGAGTGTATATCCAATTTTATTTTGTCCAAATTCCTATCGTACCCATAATTGGATCTAGGGTCTTATTTAAACCTCTGAATGGTGCTAAGATATGATGGTTTGAAGGACCACTGTCCAGAAATAAAGCAAACATGGCATGACTATTTAAGTTTAGGAATGTTTATTCCTAAATTTTTGTTTTTCAGAATATGATTATCTAAAGACCAATTGATGGGAATGTGACCACATATGGAACCTCCACCACTGAGAAAACCCCTTTGCAACATCCTGTTACCCCCCCCCCTCTACCCCCTATCTTCCATGTCCTGAATCTTTTTTCAAAAGGGCTTGATGCTGTGAAGTCTGGCATCCAAGATTCCTTCCCAATTTTCATTTGACGGACAGGGAACAATTTGGAAATATTTAAATACTGGTAGTACTGTATTGTTCATCTCAAGACCAAGTATTTAGTCAGGAGACAACACATACTCCTACAGCACTGGGATAGACACTGTCATGGAAGTATGTGATGGTTGGAGACTCCAGAAGAGTTTAACATTGATGGCCATTATAACATTTTACCCTGTATCTTATTAACGACTAGTATCCAAGCCAAGTGCAACATACCACAGTGTTCGGGAGAGACTCGCCTAGCCTACGATAACAATCTTAGTCATTACCATGGGTTGTCCACCGAATTTTTGAGATAAATAAACTTGAAGACACTAACCCCCTCTATCGTCAGATTTCTAAGAGAATTCTGGTAAAATCACCAAGGTGAAAATCACTCTGCCGCCAGCTTAAAATGAGATTTCCCACTGAACTTTGACATGTTTTCAGATAAATCACATGACTGCAAGGACATGATGTCAAAGAATTGCCAAGGAATGCTGAAAGTCAATGCATCTTGGTCTTAATACAATATTAATTACAATTTTAGTAACATACTAGCAGTACTTACAGACAATATTAATGAGATGACAAAATAGAAGAGGAATCCATAAAGACCCGTCAGACCTAGAATCCCAGCTGCGCCCCCAGCCAGAGCTGATGTAGATGTACGGCAATATTCCAAAACAGCACCATTGACCTGAATCGCCATTTGATTCAGGAATACTTGATCTAAAATGAAAAAGCTATAAATGTTTGAGGTGTATAAAAAACACATGACTGCAGGGATGAAAGAATTAAAATTTTGGACGAAATAAAACATTGTTCAGAAATAAAATTTACATGCAAACCATCTCAAATCAAATTCAAAATGATTTCATGGCAACAGATGTTGAGAGACCATTAGAATGCATTTATTTCAACTTGAATGCGCATATGAATCTCTAGAATCAACATGTAATTTTAACTGTCAATTTTGCATGCTTCTACCAGGCATTCTCTGTCAGGTATGTTTATTGTGGTTAAATGTTCATGTATGCGAAGTATTGAATAACCTGATTGGTTTAAACTTACACGTATCACGTATGCATATGTGTGCCATGTACTTTCTAGCTCATTTTTCGCTCTATGGAAATTTGTGTTTTACATGAATTCACATGTAACAAAAAAATCGAAAAGCAATTGACAGAAGCATGAAAACTAACATGGTAAAATTACATCGAGATTTTTGTTTTTTTTGACTTTACACTCTTTTAATGGCTGATTTATCAAGTCGCTCTTAATTTTTTATATTTACGCAACACTACAGTCTGTTTAATTTACTTCATAATCAATAGTTGAACCTAAAAAATAAGAAATCTAAAGACCATTGCGCAACGATATATGGAAAAACATATTCATATTGCACATGAATGAGATTAGTATATTTCAAATTATTTAGTTTTTAGTGCAATAAGCCTGTGTCATCTTATAATTTGAGGTCTATCAGCCATCTCATGTTAATTTTTAATAAGTTTTTTGGGAATTAACATGGCGGAAAAGCACCAAAATATAAGAGGCTACAGACTTCATAAGCCAATTTAGAAGCAATCCAAGATGTACAAATGTCATTCATGTACAGTATGAATATGTTTTTCCATATATTATTGCACAATGGTCTTAACATTTCTAATTTTTTACTGTAATCCCTTCAAAATGGATTCTGAATCTTGGCTACATTTGTTTCAGAAGGTGGAAGTTGGATTTTCATTGAATATGTGAAATCCCTTGGAAAGAATAAAGCACTACATGTTTTAATAAAACCATAGAACATTATTATAACTCCCTGTGGTTAGAACACATGCTTTGAACCCATGGCAATAAATTAGGAAAAGAGAAGTGGGCGATAATATGTTGGAATAGAGACATTGTCATTTTAAAATGCTGATGTTTCCATAGTTCTATGATCAAAGTGAGAAAATGAGCCATTAAACAATAGTTCATAATACAATTTGTATTCTAGCTTTGTTATCTTATCTTTTAGGGACGTATCGTGGAGTAAATCCTACCTTTTCGAGCCTTTTTATTTTTTACGAGAATCGACATTTTTATTTTTTCATGAGTACCACCATTGCTTCTATTTGAATTGAATATATTTGCAATATTCTGCCCAGCAAATCATCTATTAATACTAGTTTAAGCCAAACTTTGAATTACTTTTAATTTTTAGAATTAATAGATATTGTTATTATTATTTTTCAGGTGTTAACTTTGCTGCATGTCGGGAACCGATTCGTGTCATGAAATTGAAAAGTGGGCGTGACCTCGAAAAATTGGAATTTATACGGTCAATATCAAGGCTGTTTACGAAGATAGTTGACCATGTCATTAGATAAAAATGCTAAATATCACGAGTTAAGACCTTGATACACATTTTGCCGTATTATTTATCAAAATCGATTCAGCCAATTGCTTACAATGGGGACTCAAACTTCAGAGAATTTTGTACAACGGACTTTGAAAAACACAATAGCTGGTACAGCCGGAGGTATAGCAGTCTGTCTAGTAGGCCATCCATTTGACACCTTAAAAGTTAGACTTCAGACCCAACCGGTAGTCAACCCTGTTTACAAAGGACTGACTGATTGTTTTCTTAAGACACTAAAATGGGAGGGCGTTGGAGGCTTATACAAAGGTGTTGGTGAGGAAAATATAACTAAATTCACAAACACGATGAACAATTACTTAAGAAGCTTCGATCCGTATGATCAGGAGGGTGACCTTCATACTCTATATACAACTTATAAATAACATATGGCTTTGTCCTAGATATTATCTATTTTATTGAAATTCCAGTGTTTTGTTTTCAGGATCACCTATAGTTGGTCAGATGTTTTTCAGGGCTACACTTTTCACATCCTATTTTCAGGTATAACACAGTGAGCCAAAAATGTGACTCCAGCAAATGTCATTCAGCATGTCTTTAAAGTCATTCATTAGCCTTTTCTCAATAGCCACAATGTTATGCCCATTTTAAACGTGTTCCAAATGTCGGCCCCTGCTGTCGGCCGCCCTTTGACTCATGGAAACTCATTGACTATGGAGGCAAACTCGAACGTGTCAGGCAAAGTCAGTTCACTACGCGCTCACAGACATCTTATGTCACTGTTATGATTATCGACTCTGCACTAATTGTTGCATCTTTAAACTCCCTATTGTCTCTGAGACATACTGAATGACTAAGTTATTAACAATTGTCTGAGTTACCTTTTTGACTCACCCTGTATCAAGTGACCGGTATTTGTAATTATGTATTGAGTTATCTAGTTAAGTGAATAGTCAATTTTTTATGATTATACTATTACAGCTTATGTCCCCAGTAAATACCGAAAAGGATACAAAACGTTTATTTTAATTATTCAACATTTTGATAACAGAATGCACATAATTAGCCACATTTGTTGAACATACATCGATTTCGATGAAATGATTTTTTATATTTTCTAGATTTCTACGCTAGTTGCTGGTAGTGAGAGAGTGGGACATCGACTTCAGATGCATGAATATTTCATATGTGGTGCCTTTACTGGTTCAATAGCTGCCCTAATAGAAGCCCCGATTGATTTGGTAACATCTAATTTTGTGATCATATATGTATAACGAAAAAAGTTTATATCAACTGTCAAAGAAGCCCATTTTTGGTCAATAAACGTTATTAAAAATTCTTATGACATGATTTTATCTATGGATTTATCCATCTGTATCTGAAAAACAAGACTTTTCCCTGGGGAGGGGATCTGTTTTTCGTGTAACACCGTATGTTTTGAAATACAACATATTAATAAAATGTTGTCACGGTGATTATTGTAAGCCTTAATAATCATATAACACAAAATACAAGGTAATATGCTTTTAAGAACTGGCTATTAAGACGTTTGTAGTTTTCAAAATAATATACGTATTTTTAGTTTAAATCAAAGATGCAAGTGCAAATAATAAATGCCAAAGCCCACGGCACAAAACCCAAGTACTCCAATGTATTTCAATGTGGCTATGACATCACAAGGCAATATGGTATACGAGGGGCGTACCAAGGTCTAGCCGGGGTCTGGCTGAGAAACATTCCTGCTAACTGCTTTTTCTTTGGTGAGTACATGTACGTGAATGTGAATTCACACATAGCTAGACAAGGTGTGTCCGATTTCAGTCAATATTTTGCAATGTGTGAAAAGAATTTAAGCCCAAGACTCAATGCATTGTGTAATTACCATTCCTTTCAGACGTTGTTTCCTAAAATGAATACTCGATGCTCCGCATCTCGTGCAAATTTTGGAGAGCAACATCTTCAATGAATGGTCATTCCACATTGCACTGATTCCAGGGCTTAAATCCTTAAACAACGATTTGTTATGTCACCACCAGCAGTGTTGTGGAGGGTGTTCGGTGGTTGGTGCATGTTCATACATTGTCCACTCTTGCACCAAGCCCATATATAACCCCTTCAACCTTAAACTCGCTACATACCTTTTAACCTTACCATAAGGTCGATTGTCGAATGGCTGGAAGAAATTCCTACTGTATCTGGGACCTTTTTGCTGATTATATTGTAATAACTTATGAACAATCTTATTTGTATCTCTGATCGTCTTATTATCAAGACAGAAAAGTATATTTGATTAGTACTTGCCTCTATTCACGCGACATGTCAATATGACAATAATTAATTTAATTAAATTTGTTCTAATGAGAAAACACAAAGGGCAACATAAGACAGCAACTATGAAGAAGAAGATATAGAATATATTTTTGCCTGTCGCTCAATTCCTTCTGCTAAAGTTAAGAAGACGGAACCATACAAAGAATAAGCTCTTGCATGAGATTATGGAATAATTTCCATTTTCAGGATTCTACGAGGTGTCAAGGACACTTTTAACACCAGAGGGAGGAACAGTTCTTGATCTATCAGCCTCCGCTCTTCTAACCTCTGGGGCAGTGGGAGGTTTTCTTTATTGGTTCCTCACGTATCCCACTGATGTTATAAAGTCTTCACTGCAAGCTGATGAAAGTGATCGTTCAAAGCGTAGATTTAAAGGAGTAGTCCATTGTACCAAAACATTATACACCACTGAGGGTGGCGTAGGGCGTTTTTTCCGAGGATTTCTTCCATGTTTAATGAGGTCACTACCGGCAAATGCTGCAATGTTTTTTGTTGTAGAGAAGACGAGACAATTTCTTGCTCATAAATTATGATCAATGTGCAGTGGTGAATAGTTGGGCTATCCAGTATAGGCTAAGCAAATGGGCTCATAAAAGGCCCAAACATCCCAAAAATTGCAACAGTTTTTAAATTAGTCTTATATTATGTATTGATATCAGTTGAAAAACATATCAAAAATATAGAAAAATATATGCAGTGGACAAATATGAAATTTCACTTCCTAGGTACCCCCTACAACCCTACCCCAAAATTGAGTATCGGTAGGAAACAATTTTTTCTTCCCAAATGGAATACTTTAGTCAAGTATTCAAGCTTTATTATGATAGATAACATATTCACAAATAATTGAAATATTATTTTAATTATTTTTGAGACCAGTAATTGGTCATTTGACCCCAAAGTATAACAAAATAGGCCACAAAACAGCATGTAATCACATATCTATTTAGATATTTTAGGATCGGTTTGTCAGAAAAACATGAAAAAAATCATGGTGTTACATATTCATATGAACTTCATATTTGGAGAGTGTCAGAATTCTAACGTGTATACTTAGGAAGAAAAAAATTATTTCATTTCATAGTTTTGCCCCACCCACTATAGGGGAGACTATAGTTTTGATGACTAACTCCCACAATGCATCACATTTGTGTTAGAGTTGACATCTAAATCATTTATATAGGCTTGTCATCATCTAAAATACAAGTTTTGTGAAGGTTATACCTTATTAGTATGAAAAATAGGAATTATTAGTTGCACCAGGTGAAATGTTAAGGTGACCTCACTTTTATTTGATGAATAATTACAAATCACCACTCTGATATTAGGGTATTTGATAACTGCTCTATACTAGGCTTATCTAAATAATGTAAGTTGTAGTTTCTGTGCAATTTAATATTGTTTAAATTAAAATTATTAATTACAATCCGCAATTACAAAATTTGCATATATTTAAATTCATCAGATAAATAAATCATCACATAGGATACCCTGCGTGCAGAGTCTAGTTAAACTACAAGACGGAGCTCTCTTTTAAGAAGTGAAGTCAAACGAATGCAAAGGGTACACATAGGAGTACATTACTATGGAACTATCAATTGGATGTATAATGCTGTAGAATCGAATTTATGGTTATTAAACGGAATTTAAACTGATAGAGCACATTTAAATCTCAGATATCTGGAGCGTTTTTCATTAATATAATTTCAGTGCGTAGGAATGATGGTAATTCTGTCTGTCAGGTTGGAAAACATTGAGTGTACATGTGCTACATTCAGAATCGGATGCAGATATTGTGATTGTGAAAACTGTAATCCAAAGTGTCCAAACCTCAAATACAGTACTCATTCAGATCTCCTTGTAAACACAAACTTCAACATTTTCCTCAAACCTGAACCAAAAGCAGTAACCCAAGAAACAAAATGTTGGAATATAAATGAAATAAGATTGTCTTTTGTTTATCTTTTCTGGGGTGTGACACCGCATTCTGGTTATACCTGGCATAGACAAGAAGCTATCATTGAGGCAGATAAAAAAGATAGAGTTCTTGAGAAAACAAGCGGTTGTTTTTAAATTACCAAATGGGTCGTTTCGGTAACAAAATGTCTAAACGTCGAAGGTACGATTTTTCTTTTTTTACGCGTTATAATCGTGATCGTGTATCAGTATCATATGTTTTAGAAAATGTACAAGTTTGCGCAAAAATAGCTCAGAGGGCAACAGAATTGTTGATTTAATTCCTTACTTAAGTTACATAAACGATTTGGGTCAAAAGTTCAGATCTTAACTGTTTATCGAAATACCGTTTATGTAACTAAAGTGAGGAATTAAATCGACGATTCTGTTGTCTTCTGAACTATTTGTTCGCAAATATGTACATTTTTTAAACATATGATACATGTTTGTGATAACAATGTTGTGGAAATTATGCCTACAACGTGTGAAATAAGGAAAAAAGTAAAATCATACCTTCGATGTTCCGACATTTTGTTACAACGTAATTAAGTGGAAAACCAGTGAAATGCAAGCAACTCTGTCATTGCAGAGGAACATGCTCTTTTGTCAATTTATGGTGGAAAAATGGTGAAACCCTAAATGAACTTAGGCTTCAAAAATTCTATTAAAAGAGAGCAGCAAGATCTGAATTATTGCATCCCTGTGTTCTTCCTCCAACTTCTGATGCTGCGGAATACCACAGTTATAGAGTGTACCATCAGATCCAGGAGTGGGAAGGAAATAAACTGCCTCCATTATAATTGGGCTGGGAAATAAGCAACGAAGCTTTTGTACCAATTGCCTAAATGCAGCTCCCCTCTCTCAGAGATCATCCATTGTGTGTGTAAGGCAGATTGTACTTCTATGAGAAATGGAATAATTGTTCTATGGCATGTAAGGTATGCAAAGGTATTTGTGCAAATACCTCCATTACTGATTATGAAAATAATGATGACTAAATAATGAACACTGGCGGATCTGGGGGCCGCCCCCCCCCCTTGGGTTACCCTTTGCATTCGTTTGACTTCACTTCTTAAAAGAGAGCTTCGTCTTCGTCTGTAGTTTAACTAGACTCTGCACGCAGGGTACTCTTGGGTGGGCCCAGAAAAAAGGCCTTTTTGGTCATAAGTGGGCCTTTTAAGGCCTTATTTTTTAATTACAGGCCACATTTTGATGATAATGGGCCTCAATGTTTCAAAATTTAGGGTTTTAGGGGCCCAAAATTTTTTTTCCGTGCAAGCCCAGATGTTTTTTTGTCAGACCTGAAATTTGCCCCCCCCCCCTTGTTGGTTCCCAGATCCACCCTTAATGAAGTTTGGTGATAGACAAGTTCGTAACTGATTGTTGCCATATATGACGGTTAAGATTACAAAATTAAGGCAGCTTTTTGACAATGAACATAACGTAATCGAACCATGCCCTGTATAAAGACCAGGCATTTACTTTGTGTTACACTAGTTAACTCGGTAGGATTTATTAACGTGGAAACCTATTCCTCATTAATTATTGAATTTCATCTTGAAATCCAATTCTTCAGTTGAACTTCTTCATTTCATTTCTCAATATCACTGCGGGGTTAAGAACACCTTAGTCAAAAGTAACAATTTTTCCTTAATACAGGGCGAGCCAAAAAGGTAACTCAACCAAATCTTAATAACTCAGTCCAGTCATCCTGCATGAGTTGAGTCTTGGTCAATGTATTATCAATCTACCCAGTCTCAGTGGTCTATCTCTAGTGGTCACGATTTTATGGCCATTTTATACCATGCCATGAAATATGGGTGTCATGGCTGGAGGCCAACTTGAACGTATCGTGCGTAGTTGTTCAAATCAAGAGCATAAAAATCTTGTGTTATGGCTCTCATCTTCATTCTTATCCCTTGTTTTAATGTTTCAAGTGTTGCTAGTATAGAAAAAAGGTCCACAGATAAAAAAAAACTGGACTTGGTATTGATGTCCAGTCAGTTAGGCATATTTCGATATTTTGAGCACATTTTGTAAATGGCCATAAAATCGTGACTATTAAGCATAGATCAATGACACTTAGCAGAATGAAAGAACATTGAACAAGGTAATTGTGCCAAATATGATGTCAAACCCATGCTGAATGACTGGGTTATTAACAAACATTTGGTTGGGTTACCTTTTTTGGCTCATACTGTATTAATAAACTGATGTCAGGGACAGGGATATTTAACATTTTGTTGCCCTTTCAAGGATATTTTTAGACCACTGATTCTACTTAATTTCTAACAAATCGTTCTCTGTTTTACCAGAAAAGGTATATTATATATCAAATTGAATTTAAAAGGAAAAAACATTTGATAATTTATCAGTTATCAACTAAAAGTAGGGCTTCCTATATTTCACCTGGCATTTGCTGTTTTTTTTTACTTTTTTTACACAATCCTTTCCTGAAAACATCAAAAAACTGATTTCAGGACAAAATAAGCCTTTACAAATAATTTAGTTGTGCTATTGAGTTCAAATATGACATATCTTTGAAGTAATTAATCAAAAGTAAGGTCACCCCAAAAGTGGGTGTGGTAAAATATTGAAATTTCAAATATTATTTTCACCCTCAATATTCACTTAATGACCCTGATACTTATCAAATACAATGGTCAGGTGTACAATAACCTCCTTGATTTTTTTCATGCAATTCAGATAAATCGATACAGAAATAAATACATTGTTCAATTAAATTCGGGCTATTTGATGGCCTATTTTCAGATAATTGGGGCTAGAAATGCCAATTTTTGCCCTCAAATAGTTGGTTAACAATTTTTAGTTGCTCTTATGTCAGTAAACTATCATAATATTACTCGTTTAGTTGACAAGAGCATTCCATTTTGAAATCAAAAAATATTTACAATCACATACTCAAATTTGGAGGGGGGTACCTAGAATGTGACATTTCATATTTGTCCACTGCATATATTTTTCTATATTTTTGATATGTTTTTCAACTGGTATCAATATACAATATAAGCCTAATTTAAAAACTGTTGCAATTTTTGGGATGTTAAACTTCCATTTGCCTAGCCTAGTAAGGCTCATACCATACTTAATTTTTACTATTGATACTTACAAAGATATTTACCTCACGGTATCCAGTGGTAGTTTCTGTTTTATATTAAGATGGTTTGCTTTCTTTAACCCAAATCTTATTTTAAGACAATCATCAATTACTCTTTACTTTATACTATTACACTTATTATTCAACCTGGATGGGTCTTTTGTGCTACACTGGTTTTTGATAGGTTGCCTAATGTCCTTTCTTTAAAAACAATAGAAGAAAAAGAATATACTCTTCTTAAGTTACAGCTATATATTCTTTGAAATAAAATACAGTGCATTCTGCTTTCTTCATTCTGTTGTGGGTTTTAACATGCGTTAACATCCAATAAAAAGGCATGTCACGTCGTAGCGAAGTCAAACTGCAAAGGCTCCAAAATAGCACATTGATTTGTCTATTTCAATGGTTTTACTCATATCTGTACTGTATTGTGATTCAACCCCGAGTCGTATGGTCGAACCTTTTCTTAAAAACGCCACACCACCTACATAGTTAGTGTTGACATTTTGAGCTTCGTTGTAATGCCTGGGGTGTCCCGGGGACGAACGTGAACACATGACTTTTCGTTCACCACACGAGGCTCGTAAACACCCACAAGGTCGGTACGAATCAGCGACGTATAGACAGTGACCCATCTCATGATCTCTCCCATTGAAAAATATCTGACCGTATAGGAAGTAACTCCCAGTGTATTTTATTACGATAAGCGCCTCGTTGAAGCACTTTGATCCGTCACGGGGGCGCGAGTCGATGATGAATTTCATGTTAACGCGGGATTCTGCCTCCCAGTCGCTGTTTATGTTGCCTGAAAATAGACCATAAGATAAATTGCACATCTACCCAAATATAAGATCATCGGTTCCATTATCGCCTCTCATTCTTTCTGACATTAATACAGGGTGGCACAAAAGAACACCAATAGATAACTTTTTTGGATGCATGATATTTGAATTGTTCTTTAGCACATTGAAATTAGGCTACGTGGAGTAACTCCAGAAGAAGCTTCAGATGACTAGCCCAACTAGATGAACTTTAATGAGCGTTTCAAGATTTGCTCTAAATATCGTCCATTCCTTTGCAGACACAGCTGGATTCTACACAAAAATACCACCTACCTTTTGAAACATAACTTTGTTAAAACTATGGGTTTTGCTTGCTTGTAGTCCCAGGAAAGGGAGGTCCATTTAATTAATCACAAAATGATATAGTTGTCATTGATACAATCATCATAACTCATTTCCAAAATTATGTTACAAAAGGTGAGGGTCATTTTTGTGTAAAATCCAGGTGTACCTTTAAAGGAATAGACAACCCGTCCATCTTATAACCCTCAAAATGTGCGCATAGTTGAGCTAGTCATCTGAAGCTTGTGGAGTCACTATGGAGTCTAGTTTTATCACGCGATACTAACTCACCGGGGCGTATCGAAACCAAAACGCCCCGCAAAACGGTTAATTTGAATTTCAAATCTACCCTGTCTTTGGAAATTCAATGATTGTGAGTCTCACACTACACCGGTTTTCTTCAAACTTGTTCCATTAAAACCTTCACAGAAATACCTTTCAGTCGAGACATTGCTTTTGTTTACAAAGTCCCTCGTTTTAGCGGCATTTTGGTCCCCAGATGTGAGAAGTTGCAAATCCTCAGAGATTTCAACCACAATCCTTGATATCTCGCCAGTCTCCCTCATATTTTGCGCAAGGACTCCCATTATAACCCTCCATCGCTGCATCAACATGTTTATTGCATGAAACGCATGAATTCTGAAAAGTCCTACTCAACTGTTCGAAATTGACCAAAACGCGTTTTGGAAGAGAACGGGGCGTTTTGATCAATTTCGAAAAGATGCGTAGGACTTTTGGAAATTGCTGCGTTTAATGTAATAAATATGTTGATGCAGAGACGGAGGGTTGTAATGGGAGTCCTTGTGCAAAATATAGGGGAGAATAATAAAAGAACTGGCGATATATCGAGGCTTTTGGTTGAAATCTCTGACGATTTTCATTTTCTCACATCTGGGGACCAAAACGCCCCTTAAACGAGCGACTCTGTACACAATAGCAATGTCTCGAGTGAAAGGTATTTCTCTGAAGGTTTTAATGAAACAAGTTTGAAGAAAACCGGTGTACTGTGAGACTCACAATCATTGATTTTCCAAAGAAAGGGTAGGTTTAAAATTCAAATGAACGATTTTGCGCGGCGTTTTGGTTTCGATACGCCCCGATGAGTTAGTACCGCGTGTTTATGTGGCAAAAACAAGTCAGAATTTTTGCATACAAAAAAATACAGATGTAAACATAAATAAAGAACTCAGACCTCCATGAAGATTATGACTATTAAGATGATACAAATACTAATTTACCTTGTTGATCAAATGAACCAATAATAGGATGGATATTATTTCCCGTTTTAGGTACCATATGGATAGACGCTACCTAAAATAAGTTGTACACTGTGTATTAAATTATATTATATTATATTAAATTAAATTAAATTATATCATATCATATCAATGAAAGAAGGTTTTATTTAGAGTAAAAATAGAATATCCGTATTCATTTGAATATTAGTTTTATTATATCCGAAAAACATTTTTGAAATTCATGGTAACCTTTGAATAAATTGGAAATATATACCTTTTTAGCTTTAGGTCCCTTTCTCCTTGGCTTTCTGGCTCGTTTGTCGGATGCACGTATGGTTCTCAAAATGCCATTGTTCGTAGATTCTGATGTTAACGCCAATGGACTTGTTTGTTCGTATTTCCCAAGAGGAATAAACTGTTCCCCGATGTTTTGAAGTTCTCCTTTCTGAAGTTTAGCCACATCATACAAGTTTGCTTCTTTTTCCAAACGGTTGGTTATTGTAAAACATTGAACCGAACCAAGTATTTGAACAACAAATATCATCCGAATTAACATTATGCTGTTATGTTTGTTTCTTGCTTCTTTGCATGAGAGGACGCAATAATCCAAAGTATGTGCCTATATATAGTGTAGTCAAAAAGTGACTTCTTAGAAAATTAAACCAACATGACGTCATAACGCGAGGCGAGTTTAATTTACTTCGTACAGTATACCGATCGAGTAAACAATTCGATAACTTGATTAATTTCGTGGAACCTTCTTTGAGAGAGGTCATCAAGAGTATTTTCTGTTTTTACATTAAAATACGATAATTTGTCGATATATTGATTGATACCATGTCTTTAATATTTCTAAGTTTGTAATACTTAATACAACATTTTCTTAGACCTCCCAATATTATTATAGTTATATACAAAGGAAAGTTTAGATTCATTTAACAGAAAGTATTCAAAATAATTAAAACAAAACCCCCCAAAATAAATAAAATTAATGTAAACATTTAAGTTCACTAACAAGATACTTTTTTCAAATGAATCAAACTTTCCTTTATACAATTACAATATTGAGAGACCTAATTATAAACACATTGTGTCATTTTGTTCCAAGGAGATTCGGAGAGATGTTTCATTTCATTCCGAACATATGATACCAAGAACAAAAGAAGTGTCTGATGTGTAGATATATTTTTTTCAAATGAAATTGTTATCATTCAAAAGATGAGCATTAAATTGATGATGTGTAAAATTTTCAGAATTTGTTGATAACTGGTTTAAGAGAAACATGTGTTCAATTCAGTATGCCATATCGATACTTACCCTTTTCACATTACATCCAAAGTTTTATCTGGTTATTGACTCTTAAGATATCAGTAAACATCGGTAAAATATCTGTAATTTGATTGGTCGATTAGTCAACAATTAAAATTCAACCTTTTCAATAATAAGGTCTCATAAAAGGTACATGTGCAGTATGGTAAGTGATTTTAGCCAGTCATATCTTTCACCATGTACGCTTTACATTCTGTGATCGAAAAATAAGAAAATTAGAGAGCTGTTACTGGGACCTTATGATCACCCCTGGTATAAATAAACTAATCGACTAAGTAAATTCACATAATTAAAGGAAATCATTTTAAGTTTCGTACGCCAACACGTTTTTTTCTCAGAAAAACGTTTTACAGATAATAAATATACAGATTTGATATGAAAACACGTTCAATTACCAATATAAAGTGACGTCATTGACCTATGTCAAGATAAAACATACATTTTAAAATTTCGAAGAAGGAAATGTTATGTCAAACTTACTTATTACTATGTTCATTCACACTTGGTAACTGAAAGGTGGCACTTAATAAATAAATGAACGAATATCTTTAATTTGGAAAATGTTAACATGTATATATTGGTTGACCACCATGATGTTTATTTCCATGGCGACCAACAGACACAACCAATTGCAATCTACATTAACCGCGGGAGTTGCAGCTACATTCAATTATATGGTACGTGAAATTAATTTCAAGTCAGAATAAAGGTCACGGTTAAAGTCAACTGAGATCGCTGTAACGGTCAATTGTCATTTTTTGTACCTAATACTGAGGTTGAATCACGATCCTTTCCCATATAACATTAGGAGTTGGATCTGATATTAGAGCGTGTAAGTTTGAAATGTTTTTCACAACCTAAACGCGAACGGGAAATATTTAAGCGATACATATTTATGGGCGATTGGTCATACGTATAGGTTGGCGTTTCGACTTTATATGCAAGCTTAAACTCCCTAATATAACGCAAGCATACACGTACTTAACCTTCTATATTGTCATTAATTCTAATTCCCGTCATTCATTACAATGTTATATCATTGGGAGTGGATGATACTTTTCTGGGAGTACTATTCCCATTCACACAGAGCATGGGTTTTCAATTAGAGTTCTAGTTGAAAGCCCATGCACAGAGCGATGAGGTAGATTCATGTGATAAAACTAAATAACGATTTACCTTTTCATTATCAAATTCTAAAATTATCTTAGTCATATCTTGAATTGAAATGCTTCTTCCTGAAAACGTCAATTAGTTCAACATTTTCGATTTTTTACATTTGGGAGGCCAAGTAGGTCCCCAAAAATATTAACCAGCAAATAATCCAGAAAATTATCACACTTTAATATCATTTGTAGAATTTAGTGCAATGTAGACAATGTGAACAACTCAGCCATTACAAGAAGAGGTTCCAAGACGGCACAACAAAGTGTGTACCATGTACAAAATGCCCAAGAGGACAATGTATTGCAAGTCATTGCGTTGGATTCAAAGACAATGTATGTAGGCAACCTGATCAAAATGAATATATACATGGACACGATTGTACACTCTGCAGTGAATGTGGTACCAAGCGAACGACAGTGCGTAACTGTACTAAGCATTTTTACACGCAGTGTGGCGATTGCGTTCCTGGTAATTAATTCCGTCTAATGAACGTTTGGCCAAAAGCTATTTGATTTTTCATGAAAATTCATTTTCGATTTTTTGGGACTTTTTATTTAAGACCAATTTAATTAGGTCAGACTCTCTATTCCAACTAACAAACGTTTGGTTTAAAGCTGTATTTGAAAAGTACATTTTCATGAAAATTCATTTTTGAAAGTTTTGAGACTAATTTTTTTCTCAATTTCAGACAAATGTTTGATATAACAAATGGATCCTTTTCATTAAGGTTTCAAATGGGACTCTCTTCTTTTTGATTGCGTCGACGCGCCATCCATCCCGACAAAACACCCCGAGCATATAGTAGGTACCACTAACAGTGCTAAATCAGTCGTGCTAGCTGCGGAAAACCTTACACGGGCAGAATGTGCAGCTGTTACCTTGAAAAGGGAACTCTGTCATGACAAGCATATATCATCAAACGGAACTCTTCAGGCAGATTCAGGTAACTACGAATAAATGCATTTTTCTAAGAAGTTAATAAAGCCGTGCTAACTAAATTAGAATTAAAAGATACGTCAAAGTAATTTAATTCGAAAATTGTACTGTAATTAAGCAGGGGATTCTACGTTTTCAGGTTTTGAACAGCAGCGTATTATAGTTTTGGCAGTGGTCTTACCATGTGTTGCCATAATCTCGATGACTGCCGTTGGTGTCGTTATATTTCGTAAAAGGACAACACAAAAGCCAACAATAGATAAACTTCTACCAAATGATGTAACAATTAATACAATTTAACTATGAAGTATATATAACTAGTGAACCTATACGTTGTAGCCTTTGTATTGACATTAAAGCCATATAATAAATCTGATAAAAATGATATAACTTTTTTTATTTTTCGTACATCTTACTAATTTTTATAATGTACAGGGCGTTCAATAAGTATTGCTAATTTTGCTATAACTTTTGTTCTGTTTGCTTTGTCTTCATGAAACTTTCACAACATAAGGTACATATATCCGACTTTATTCTATGAAAGTTTCAAGACAATCAAAAACAAAGTTATGGTTACTAAGGTAACCAGTAACATGGATATGCGGGGCAAATTTCTGACGCCACTTTGGACGACATTTTGAGTGTTGAAAGCAGTATCATTTAATGCCATTTAACTCTTGGGATATACAGTGCAGTTATAGATAATCCATTCCAGAGTCACTTCATGATCCATATTAACTTCATGAGGTGCTCAAAATAGGCAGGCACCCTTAGCGTCAATGTACAGTTGCTGTCTGGCGACCCACCCGTGATACACATTTTTGAAGCCATCCTTAAAGTGTGTGGCTAGGGAGGTGTTCACTGCAGACATCAGCTGATTGAGATTCTGGTGCGATATTCCTCTCAGATCCCTTAGCTTTTCACTGGGGCGAACAAAATCAAGTGGGGCCTTATCAGGGAAATATGCTGCGTGGGGCAATGCTTCCATGCCAAGCTCTGTTATTGTATTTTGGAGAATAGAGGATCTGTGAGCAGGGGCGTTATCCTGGTGGACCGTATAGGTCAATATTGCTCTTTGAGGACGTTGAAGTGTGTGGCTATGGATGTGCAGTGTTCACTGCAGACATCCGCTGATATAGATTCTAGTGCGATATTCCTCTCAGATCTCTTTTCACCGCTGTTAGATATAAAATACATATAATTCAAACTGACAACATCAAGATTTGACCATATCAACAGTTTTTATTCATCAACGTGTTTATTTGATGTATAACAATAATTCATGTAATTCCTTAAAGTTGCCCCGCGAATCCGTGACAATGGTTACCCTAGTAACCATTACTTTGTCAATACTAAGTCGGTTGTCCAGAAATTTTGATAGAATAAGGTCAGATATATGTTGCTTATGTTAGAAAAGTTTCATAAAGAAATATGCAACATAACAAAAGTTATAACAAAATTAGCAATACTTATTTTTACATTTACATTGTTGAGTATTATAACTGATGTCCTGTGAAAGTTACAGGACTGCTTTAACAGGAAGGTTGTGGTGGGTTGAGCCAAAAGTGGTTAGTGGTGGATCAGGTCCTGCACGAAAAATGTCTCAAAATGACCAACTTAAAATGTGAATATTGCTCCGCAGCTTGCGCACCAACTTGTCACACATCAATGTCATCTCTAAATCATTATGAGTTACATGGTGTGTGCGACCAACACTTGAATCAGTCATGACTGCAATTTTTCCGATAGAAATTCAGCCAATATTTCTTTTATTGTATTAATCTGACTAGGGGAAGTCACAGCTTTTGGTCACCCCTGTCTGGGTTCATCTTCATCTGACTTTCTCCTCTTTGAAATATCGGTACCAACGATATTTGCCAGGGGTAGATATAGTTTCCTCTCCATAAGCTTCATGAATGTCCTTTATTGTATCGTATTTTGATTTACCCTAGGAGTATATAGAACTTGGTGCTGCTTCTAATTTGATGCAAGAGGAGGGAAAGCCCCAGAGTTAAAAGATGACAGACACCTCTCTTGCTTACCACCTTCGTTCCTTCGAATTTTCATCGGCTAGTTATAAAATACTACACTTCGATCGGATGTTTTAATTGATATACTGTAGGCATATTCCGTACACCTTTCTTTATCTTGGTGTTAAATGGGAAGCTATGATATTGGTTAACACGCCAGAAATGACTAATAATATATTCGAAGCGTATTTCGAAAATTTTGAA